AAAGATTTATACAGTAGGTCTACCTCTTCATAAATTGGCTGTTAATTGTGTGAATGATAAGAAGTTACTTAATGCAATCATAGTGCCCCCTTCTGGCAGATACCTGCCTCTGTAAATTTAACACAGTGATATCTAGTGATAAGCTACAGTAGAACTTAAAGTGAAACATTTCTAGGATGCCTACAAGTGGTATTGCACGGTTTCTGTCACAGATTATTCTGACTGGCAAGGATAACTTTATTAGGATCAGCTTTGCAATGAGCTTATTTGTATCATTGGAAACAAATATGGAATACGGCTGCATGATTAAAATGAGAATTGAAACTACGACTCTCTCACAGGAGTCTTGTTTTTTCAACTTTCAAGTGAAAACTGTGTCTGAGAGTCTGCACTAAAACATTTTCAGCTGCAAACATTTATTTTCGTCTTGTCTTTTTGTCCTTTTTGTGGCTTTCAAATCTCTTTTAGTGTTCCTCAGACACATGGTCACACATTGAGGAATGCTTTCATATGAACACTTTTACATCCAATTCCCAATCTAGGGAACCAGGGAAGTTTTTCAATCCTCAGACTTCCCTCAGAGGTCAAAGATACATCCTCCCAATATGAATGCTGCATTGTATAGTGAAGGAGTCCACCCCAGGACCTGGCTGAAGACAGAGGACCTCTTCTTTTGTTCACATCTAGATTTAGACTCAGGACCCTGAGTCAGACACAGTTAAATTTGGAAATAAAAAAATTAAAATTAAAAATAAAATTTTGTCTTAATGATACTCTCCCTTAAAACATTTTTTTAAATTCAAATATAATTTATTATTATGACAAGACAAATGGCCTTTGAATTTTTATACTTAGCATTAAAACAAATGAACAGTGCTTCCCCACAAACTTCATCAACTACATCATCATTATCACTGCATTTAGGTAAAGTGGATATTTCATTTTAGCACAGTCGGTGGTTAATGTGCATTTAATGGCAGTTAATGTGGTTGTTGAGGTCATAATAGATCTAATTAACAACAAGTCTAACAATGACCCAATACAGGCCTGTGCAGACGAGCTGCTTGTGCTTGACTATTGTGAGGGGGTTCAAGTGTCTGTCTGTGCTAAAATGTTGGGAACCTCTTCTCTCTTGCGTACCCCACTGACCTAGATTTCAATTGTTTTCTGCAGGAGACAATGGGAGAAATGGTTTCATAACTGAACACAATACCTGGGTGTTATTCAACACGATTGTTGTTAAGGTTCTCATGATAGTGGTGTGATTTTGCATTGAGCATTGTGTGTTTCCTTTATGTAACCTGCTTGGGCAGCCAGTCAGCGACAAGCCTGTGCACACCACAGTAAAATGTAGATTGGTTTAACAGATGATTGTGCATTCACAAAATGTTTGTAGCCCGGTCAGTCCCATCACTAAAAGCATATTTTGTTTCTTAACAGGTTGTGTCTGAGGAGGGGAAATGTTGTGAAGTGGCTTTCTAAAAATAACAAAAATTCTAATGTTGGAACCAATAATCTATAAGCCAAAATGATCCACTGTATGGGCCCATGACAGTGAGGATAGATGGAGAGATTCGTTCTAATTCTGTGTATCATTACATGTGTGTTCATGTCACAGGTACATCAAAGCACATTGGAGTTCAAATAACTTCTGCGCACAGTTTTCCTTACTGCTGCTGTCGTGCATTTTTTTCAGTTCAGCCGAGGCAGCTTTATTTGTGTTGCATATTTCAAACAAAAGGCAATTCAAAGTGCTCCACACAAGGCAACGCAATTCATCAGAGCAACATTTCAAACACATTTTAATACCACAGATATGGTTTAAAAATGAAAACTTAGGAGGGCAAAGTATCAATTACAAGAGATAAATGTTTTTTACGCCCCAATAATCCAAATAATAGGATGTACATTTAAATTAGTTGTATAATTGGCTTGAATTGGGGTGTATTTTAAGAATTATTAGGAATTTGATTCCATCTGTGTTTTGCACATAAGCTGAATGAATATCCAACCTCATTGGTTCTGGCTCGGACCAAACGACTTCTAACTTCAAGAGGATGAATTCCTTTCAAAGGTACATTTTATCAAGAAAATCAATCACTCACATTTATTTATAAAGCACATTTTAAAACAGCAACTGCTGACCATAGTGCTGTACATGAAACGAGAGCAATACAGAATAAAAAGCAAAACAAAAACAAGGCAAAATCCCCAATTTGTCTTCGCCTGCCGTTCTAAAGTTTTTAAAACAACCTCTTAAAAAAACATTCTCACTGAGTCTACATTTAAACTTTATTTAAGACTAATGACTTGGAAAACAATTATTTTAACATAAGACTACAATGTGAAATTGAAATAGAGAACAGTGTTATTTTGTCAGACTTTATAAATAAGCTCACTTAGGCATCACATGGTGGGATTTAAAAAAAAACAAACATTGAAACTGTGGTGCTTAAGATGTAATCGAAAATGTTGAAACATTAGGTGTGCATCATTTTTTGACTAGCAGTGTTTATGGTTTGATGTGGACACCTTTAGACAAGGTAGGAGCTTAGAAAGATAGAAACCTGCAGGCGGAGGGGAAAAGAGGCAGAGAGCTCCATGCTTGGTGGAGAAATGAAGGAGGAGTTAGCAGAAGGCAAATTAATCACAGAACATCAAAGGCCAATGGATCGAGGGAGGAAAGGGTTGAAAGAGTGCCGCCTGTTTGTCCCATGTCGTCCCCGCTCCGCTCCGCCTGATCCTGCTCTCAGATCTCCAGACCATTGTGCCGCACGGGTCCATGGAGGGGGCCGGGGCACAATGTACACAACAAATCATGCAGGAACACAAAGATGTCTGAAAGCAAGACTTGCTAAGAAAAGCTGATTTTTCCTCTTAACACAAAGTTTGGCTTCTAATGATTGTGCTCCTGTTTCCTCGTTTCATGTCTTGCAGTTATTTTTTCACTGACCAAACTGTTTGAGTTATTGGAGGCTGGCTGCAGAAACTTTGAAACATAAACCCAGTCACTAACACGTACTCTAAGTTGTTGTCAGTGTGAACTCTGCCGTCATTGCTGGCTTGTGGCAGCAGAGGACGGCACTCTTTGATGATGCCCTGCTAGATTCAGCCGCCACTCTTTTTAATCGTTCAGCCTGTCACTTTCTTCTCTCCGTAGACCGTACAGAATGTCTTTTGACTTGGATCATCCTCTGCAGGAACTTTTGCTATGCAGTTGTATGCTGTTACAGTAATATACACTTTTTAGAATATTTATTATAAGAACCCCACCTGGATTTTATGTTGTGAGGAGGAACAAGTGTTTGTAAATATAAAAGTTCCTGGTAAAAACTAAATTGTAGTCAAAGCTGAACTTTCAGATCTGATTTTGGCAAATGCATATTAGATACAAAGCTGTCGGAGATATACTTCACTTATGCTTAAAGAAAGTGATCTCTTCTTTATTTTAAACAATGGTGGACAGCATTAAAGGTACTGTTTTGGTTAAATTAGCAGGAGAGTGGCACCTCAAGAGTTTTGAAATGTAAAGTCTCTTCTCTTGAATCTCAACCTCTCATTTTACAAAATATATTTGTTGCAAAATAATAAGAGACCCTAGCTTCGAGTAACATTTAATTTAAGTGAATCTGTGTGCTCACTATGTTTTACACATGCAATTTAGAAATGATCAAAGAGGCAGATTTTGTCACGTAGTTCTGCAAATCTTAAGGATGACAAGCTACAGTAATTGGAAGTTCATTTGTAGATGTGTGGCTTTAGATAAAAGTGTCCAGCTTGTGCATTCTTTGGCATTCTTACCTTTTCTTTGATAAAAAGTCAATTTGTAGTACTAAACAAAGAGGATGTTCATTATCTGTGTTATGATGGTACCCAAACCTTTTCTCTGAAAGTCACTTTGTCATTTCATCTTTTGTTTCCGCAGAAACATCCGTCAAAGTTGTCAGTAAACACTTTAAGCTGCTTTAAGAATTGAAATGTTGTGATTTGCTAAACGGATGCTTCTTTGAACTTTAAAATAAACCACACTCATAGAGACTTTTTTTTACTGTATCTTTATGTAACAAAAGCAGAGTTCATCAGAGAAAGACAAAAGTGATGTGAACTGACAATATTTTAATGGGGGGGATAAAAGACTGTAAGTGATCAATGGAAGCGGCGGCCAAGTGATGCCCGGGGGACGCCTTTGATGTGGGCATCCTCAGAGGGACGCCGGGGACAATGCCCCCTTTGAGAGGCATGCAGAATGGCAGACACATCGCGCTCCCTCTCTCTCGCTCTCTCACACGCTTTCACTCAACATCCCAACGTGTCCCGCTTGCTCCGATCACGCTGTACCTCCTCAGATCAGACGCTCGGTGACATCTATCTCCCTCTGCATTCCTCTGCTCCAGTGTCACATCAGCACATATCCTTATCTGTGTAACTTTCTCCCTCTTCCTCTGACATTAATTAATTCAAACAACACCCCCATCCCTGTCACCCAACCAATCACTCCGCCTCCTCGTTTCCCCCCTCCCTATCTGTATATCTCTCCCTCCCTCTGTCTCCTTTCATAGAACCAAACCTCTTTGTAATGTCCAGCCTTGGCAAGTTGCGCCCGATTTGCTGTCACAGTCTTAATGAATTCATCTGTTTGTGTATTGGCCATGGGAGCATCTCTCCCTCCTCCCTCCCTGTCTCTCTCCGATCCTCTCCCCCTCCCTCTTAGTGATGTTCCCCTGGGGACTCTATATATACCAGGGACCACTCCAGGCACCTATTGTTCCTCTAAGTAAACTTACAGACAGATGCCCTGCACCGCAGTGTGGGAGAGAGCCCAGAGAGTCAGGAGGAGGGAGACTTTTAGCGATCACAGAGAGAAACCAGACAATAAGGACCTGGAAATCCAGAAGGCAACCCTCATCTCCAGCATCTCTGCATCCTCCTCCTTCTTTACGAGCGCCTCCCGCTTGTGTGTTTGCTGTCTCTGTTGAGCGGAGGTCTGATGTTCTGACACCATGATGCTGCTCATTTCACTGCTGCTTATGGGACTTGGCTGCTTGCTGGGAGCTCCAGCAGGTCGAGAAGTGTACAGGATGCCCCAGAGTGCACTCAAAGGTAATTTGTCTGAAGTTAAATTCAGTTATTTGTAGTGTAGTAGCGATGACATCAGAACTTGTCAGTTATTTAAGTGATTGCTGCTGGGTCCTGAGCACGAGTGTTGAAGACTTTCCCAGGTATTGAACTAACTACTTGAAACTTATTTGAGAAACATACAGAATTGTAAATGTCCTTTAGATATAGTCTATACATATATATATACGTATGATTTTGCTAACTTTTCAACACTTGTCTTCATAAAGTGACTTCAAATCAGTAAACAATAGATCTTTTATTTTGTGTTTTTGTCTACACTTTACTGCCTCTCAAACAAACTTGTCAGGGATCAACTTCAGAGTAACTTGTTCAATCTTGCAGTAAAGCTAAAAGAGAGGGACTTCTGGACTTCTGTGGCTGCAGTACTGAGAACATTGGAGCCTTCGTTCGTACAAATGGCTGGTGATTGCAGTGTGTGTTTAGAGTGTTCAGAACAAGGGACTTGGGGTCCCAGCCGCCCCAGTGCTGCCAGCCTATGCCCCTACGGCCTGTCCCTGCCCGCCAGCCTCTGCCAGCTCGGCCCTGGCCTTCTAATTAAGTCTTCAATCAGCATTGTTGTTGTTAGTGGCTTATCCTGTGATGTGGTGCGGCACAGAGGGGGGCTGCAGGGCCGGCGGTCCGATTGATGTGTGTCTGCAGAAGCCTCAGCAGCGCACTGAGCGTGAGCTAGCTTCCATAACATGCTGCAAATGAGCTCAAAGAGAAGCATGAGAACAAAAAAAGGGGGCTGCTCTCACACATACCAGAGAGTTGAACCTGTTCAAATTAAAAGCTCACTTACTAATTCTCACAGAAAAGAAAGGTCTTCCATGTAGTGGTTAGGTTGTTTTTCATTCTGCAACATTTTCCTGTAAAGACTGATCATTTTGTAGTTATTCAGTAACTGATCAGCAATTTGCTCCTCTGAAATGTATCACTCCTTCATGCGAAACCAACACCAGAATTTTGAGGCTGTGACTGGCAATATAAATTTCATGCATTAACATCTATTAAAGGAATTGCTTGGAACAGTTTATTTAGCATTGTGTTGTGCCATTTCTTTAAAGTATTGGGTGACACACACCACTGAAATGTATCTGCTTATCCGCTTGGCCAATGTGTCCCCCTTCCTGTGTCTTAATATCTCTCTGGATGTCTCATCTGCCTCCTCAAAAGCTTGTTTCACATCGCAAAGCATTTCCAAATATTAATTTTTTTCTCTTCCTTTCTCTCCTGCAGCTCTGTCTGATCGTGGCACCGTGGTTCTTGAGGCGGCTATGACTAGTGCTCTTTCCGCTCTCGATCGTGCCTCATCAGAGAGGAGTCGGGCTGAAACCAGCTGCCGGGGCTGTGTCCCCTGTTTGTTTCAGGACTGTGGTCAACTGTCCGGCTCCTGCTGTAAGTTCCCTTTTAATCTTGAGCATCTTGAGTAAGATTGTCCTCTTCATGGATTACCAATAATTGCTCTCCTTGTACCTTTATGCCTATGTAATCACCTCCTCTTGCTCAACAGCGCCTCCGTCCAATGCCTTATTAGAGCCCAGCTGTGATGTCATCAGTAAGGCCCAGAAGCTTCAGGAAGAAGCTGAGCGGAGTTGGGCGCTGAGTCAGGCCTGTGCGTACTATCAGCATCGCTGTCCAGCGGGCGAACTGGACAAGGAGAGCTGCATCAGGATCATGGGTGAGAGCTGCAGTGCCCGTGTCCTCCAGTGCAGCCTGCTGAACACCATGCAGAACCTGGAACCTGCTACTCAGACGCATGCACAGGGTGAGGGAATTTTAAATGTGCCCAAACAGATCATCGTGCTTCTTCTGTCTGTGAATTCAGGAAAGGGGATTGAAGATTTCAGTGGTTGTCTGCAATATTTTGCTGCATTTTCCTGATCATCAGTGTCTCTGTGTCCCAGCAGCAGTTTGTGGTCAGAGATCATCCAGGGTACAAAACATCACACAGCCTCGCTCCAGGATTGTGGGAGGCTCTCCTGCTCCTCTGGGCAGCTGGCCCTGGCTGGTCAACCTCCAGCTGGACGGTGGCCTGATGTGTGGAGGGGTCCTGGTGGACAGCTCCTGGGTGGTGACGGCTGCTCATTGCTTTGCTGGGTAAGTGTGAATCACTGTTTTCTCAAGCTACAAGAGGAATCATTATATTATTATTTCTCCTCTCACTCCTGGTTCCTCTGTTACTGCTCTGATCTCTGCAGCAGCCGTAGTGAGAGCTACTGGACAGCCGTGGTGGGGGAGTTTGACATCACCAAGACTGATCCTGATGAGCAGATCCTCAAAGTTAACCGAATCATCCCTCATCCTAAGGTAACAATCCACAGTGTGGAACATAAATAGTTGAATTAGGGATAAGACTGTTTTATGCCTCCTATTTGACCTTCCTTGTTACGCATTCATCATTAAACTTCTCTTCTTCCTGCAGTTCAACTCAAAGACATTTAACAATGACATAGCTCTGGTGGAGCTGACGTCCCCGGTGGTTTTGTCCGACCATGTCACTCCAGTGTGTCTCCCCTCTGGCATGGACCCCCCTACAGGCAGTCCCTGTCTAGTGGCAGGCTGGGGCTCCCTCTATGAGGGTGAGTGGGAGATAACTGACATTTCACTTCACATTAGAAGTCTAAGCTTAGTTTTCTGCTAGCAAGGTTAACAACTTTTTTTTAGACCGAATGTGTAATTAACAATTTCAGAAAATGTATCAGAATGTTAAAACCTTCCAACTTTCATCATCTAATATGGTGCATTTGTTACCTCTCCTCAGATGGCCCATCTGCTGATGTGGTGATGGAGGCCAAAGTGCCCCTGCTGCCTCAGAGCACCTGTAAGAGTGCCCTCGGCAAAGAACTGGTCACCAATACTATGCTGTGTGCTGGCTATCTCTCCGGAGGCATAGACTCCTGTCAGGTGGGCAGAATGAGATTTTCTAGTCTGTGACCTTATTAAAGATCGCTCACGTCTTGTTTGGGTATTTCTTTAGGTTTAAAAAACATGCTCTTTCTTCCTGACATTTTTTAGAACCATTTAGGCTCATAAAAAATAATATGTTTGTGAAATACCAGACCAGAGATTCACCTTTGGGTATTTTTCTAACTGCAGGGAGATTCTGGAGGCCCTCTGATCTACCAGGACAGAATCTCAGGTCGGTTCCAGCTCTACGGCATCACCTCCTGGGGAGACGGCTGTGGCGAGAAGGGAAAACCTGGAGTCTACACACGGGTTTCTGCTTTCTCGGACTGGATTCAGGCTGAGATACAAAGTGAGTTTCAAGTAGCAAACATGACAGAAACTAAAAAACTCTGTTTTGCAATATAGCGCAAAATCCTGAAATATTATCTACAACCACTACAATCTATGCTTTACTTTTTAGAGTCATTTGGAAGCAGGGAGCCAACATGTCCAGAGCTTCTAAAGACAACAGAAATGACAGAAGAGGAGCAGAGGTCCGAGTTCAGCTCTCTTTGTCGCTTCTACACACTGACATGCCCCTCTGGTCAGTCCATCAGCACCTGCAACCGAATGGCTGAGGACAAGTGTCTGACCCGCTTCAAGAAATGTCGTGAGTACTCTTATTCAAGGGCTGAGATTGAAGGATGTGGAACAAAACCTTTATATCCCCTTTGTATTGATTTGAGATTAAGCTAGTTTCTAATCTGTTGCTCTCGCTCTCTGCCTTCTAGAGCTGCGTTCGTTCCTGCAGACCCTGCTGGACCTGCTGCAGAGGGCTGAGGACTACATCAGGGATAAAGTCGACTTGACCTTCTTCACCCAGACTCTTCCTCAGCTGGTGGAGCACATCTACAACACAGCTTTCGCTCACACCCGAGAAAGGAGGGACCTGAGTGGTGGTCTCACTCACATTAAAGGTACATGATAGACAGATTGTTCTTCCATGATCTACTAAAACCCTCTGAAAAAGAGTTAATTAAAGGTGACCATACACACTCTCATCTTTGTGATGAGTTTGCAGGTGCATTGATATACTGAGATATATTATTGTTCACTTTTGTAACAGGTGTTTTATTCCTTTGCAGAACAGCTAGGTGGAGCTGTGGTGCCAGTAGAGCAGGGCCCTTCTCCTGCTCTCCCAGCTTTATTCAGAGAGGTGGGACCCTCAGTGGATGAGTGGGAGAAATACCTGAGAAACGTGGCAGAAGATCTGGACAAACAACACTCTGACACATCTACAGACATCTCCTCCCAACCTGCAAGACAGGAGAACAAGCTTTTCTTACAGGTAGATCATGTGGGGTGTTTCTGAAGAGTTTAAACATGGATAAACCGTCCCATATCACATCACATCACTAGATCGTTTTTTACATATGTTACTGAAGCATTCAGCAGGGAGGCATTGACCAAAGTCAAAACTGTCAGAGGATTTGTTTCAGTTAGAAGAATGTCTTGATTTCTTTGCCAGAATAAGTATTTATTTTTTGCTCTTCATCATTATTAAAAGTAAATCTGGGAATGTAGGATGCTACTTACTGAAGTAGATAAAGAGATGACAATGTAGTAGGCTTCTTACAAGATTGATATGTTTGAGGCTAAACTTATTTTCCAACTCTACTTTGGACTCTTTCTTCTCCAGATGGAGGACTCCTCAGTACATCAGCTGGAGGGAGAATTCCGATCTGTTATCTCAGCTCTGCGTTCAAAATTGGACTCCAGAGCTGCGCCTCCCATCATGCACTTGGACACCGTCTACCTCCTGGAGGAGTCTCCCAACAATCCCCTTTTCCAACATCTTCCACTGGAACACCAGCCCACCCAGGCCACTCCTCCTCTTCCTCTTCCTCAACCCCCTCCTCCCAGGAGCCCCGGCAGCAGCCTTGGTCACTTCTAACAGCCCTGATGAACGAAATGGAAAAATTAAGCTCACATGATGAAATTGTGACAGACGATACATCTGATAGTGACACCTCTTTCAATAAAGACATGCCTCTGGATGAACATTTTGGAGCAGCGTTAGAGGATATTACGTTCTTTGAGAACGGGGAGCGAGAAAAACTCAAATCTACAGCATTGTCGCTTCAAGTGCAGTCAACCACTGCGGTTCAGCCGGTCACTGATGGGGCTCACACAGAGACGACCACTGAGCCCAGACAAACTGTGCGTGCTGTAAAAAGTCCAAATAGAAAATACAGGAGCCTTCTTCGCAAGAGGCAGATACCTGGGGCAATCGGAAAAAGTATGTGCATTACCCAGTTTTCTGAAACTATTGATTTATAGCTTTAAACCGTATGTAATATTTCCTCATTATAAAATTTCATCTCTCAAATAAATTGTTTCTGTTTGCTCCTGTAGTTTGTCCTGGAGTAAGAGAGTCCTCACAGCAAGTCAGCCAAGTCAGAGACTCGTACAGCTGGGTCTTAAGCATCCCAAACAAGAACCTACGCATGAGCTTCCAAGAGGTAAATTATTATTAAAATTCAAGATGTTAAGAAAATCAAATATTCACTGGTTACATAAAAACGTTCAATTCTTTTTTCTCTCGCTTTCTTTGGGTCTCTCTTTTGTTCAGGTGTTAGTTGATCTGAGCTCAAAGAACGAGCGAGGACTTTACCAGGCGCGGGTCAGAGCAGTAGTAGGCGGACGACCTTTGACCTTCTACAGTCTTGTCGGCTTGGAGAATGAGTCATTTTACCGTAGTGTGCCAAGGATCATCGCATTGGCTCTGGAAGCACTGAAGACTTGACTCCATCAGAAAAACAAGTGAGATGAACAAATATAATAAAGACTGAACCGAGAGATGAAGGGACAAAGACTCTCGAAAAGACTTGTTTAAAAAGCACCAGAAAAGCCTCGTCTTGTGACAGAGATGCACAGAAAAACGCACACTCACGCAAACTTTACTTCTCCTGCCGACTGCTGTGAAAGCATTCTCTTCCCAGTCCAAGAGCCTGACGTCGTCTAGATGAAAACACAACCATGAATGTATCAATCCATCTATCGAACACCCATCATGCTGCAGGATTTTGTTTTTTATGTGGTTGGAGAAGCAGCCCTGTCTAACTTATGAACCTGTACAAAATGATAAGTTATTCATTATGTCTTTTGCAAAGGTTGAGCCTCTTGTGAAGCACACAGACTGTATATGTTATTCCATATTTATTTGTATAGAGAAAAACATTTGTATTTTTGTATTAAAAAAAAAAACCTTCATACAAATAAAAATGTTATTAATGCTATACTATGTTGTGTTTGATGCAGTTGAACTCTCATGTTATTTATTAGCGTAGTTATGATTTGAGATATTCAAACCTGTCGACTGCTGATCTTACAGAATTTCGCTCCTTGTGTTCAACAGATCTTTCGAAACCCAAACATAATCTTTGAGTCAGGTTTCGTTTCTGGTTGGTCCCCAGACTGACCCCGGTCCTTTGACCCCTTATGGGGTAACCTTTCTCAACAGCATCAGCTGCTGTACTCCAGTAATACTTCTTATTTCCAGGACGAGGTATTAGAACTGGAAACAAGTCTGCCTTGACCTTTTAAGTCTCTTATTGACTGTTATGAGTCAGAGCAGTGCTAGAAAAGACAACTGTTGCCAGAGGAAGTAACACTCTTACTGTAACTTGTTGACAAGCTTTCTTTGCTGAGTCATCACGTTTGTCCATTTCCCTGTGGATGTTAAGTATCAGCTAGTGTCTGAAAGTGTTTATGATCTGCTAAATGAGCCCTACCACAACCAAAGTCGCTTCATAACTAATATATACCTATTAGACTATTGCATTTTGTCTGCTTAGTCTAAGTTCTAAAAAAAGGGATAAATGACAGGAATATGAGTGAAACAGCTGAATAAACACAGACATACTTTGTTGCGACTCATCAACTCCTGCCTCTGGCATGAGTGTTTGTGTGTGTGCAGCAAATGAGCCAAAGCATTTATGGGACAAGTATTTTTGCCTCACTCACACACACAGACACACAAACACACACACAGACACAGGGTAATGAGGTGCCACACATTCTCAAGTAACCTCCATTGAGCGTGTTCAGTCATCAGAGAGGGCGTAAATGGACGTGACTTAACACCTGCTCTCTCTTTACAGCTGTTTTCACATTTCACATTTTGCTGTCAAAGAATCTCTTTTTTTACTTTGTTCATGTGGACGTCTGAATGACAATAGCCAGGTGCACTGAACAGACTCACAACAGACTGTTTTGACACTGGGGGGGGGGGGGGTGTGTGTGTGTGTGTGTGTGTGTGTGTGTGTGTGTGTGTGTGTGTGTGTGTGTGTGTGTGTATTTGTATTGTGACAGCTGGCTATGCAGTACTGGAAATACACTCTTGGATTTAACCCGAACAATCATCAACCACCAACCCCCAACCATTCTCCTAACCTCAACCCTCCCGTCAGTTAGCCCTGACTTTTGCTGGGAAGCAAACGCACACAAACACATTAACACACACACACACACATAAACACCAAGGCTGAATGCCAGCAGCTCCATCAAGCAGTGTCCATGTGTATTAGATAAGTGATCACAGCTTTGTGTCGGGCTGCGCAGCACCAACACACACTAATGGATTGTGGACCTCCGCTCTCTCTGTCACTCCTCTTAAGGGTGTTTATGATTTCTGCCACAGGTAGGCTACTCGCTCATCCACCATGATATTATACAGGAACTTGTTAGTGCCAGGAGATTTGCATTGTGTGCTGTGCATGTGTGAGGAAAGGTTTTCTGATGGATAAGGTGTGACGTAAATTACTTAGAGGAAGAGTTTTCCTTAAGAAGTCACATTTTCTTTATGTCATTTTTGGTTCATCCAACTGTTGTAACTTTTGATGTCAACATGAATCAACTTTCTCGTAACACTTTAGTATTCTCCCTGTTATTGAGTCTGATTCTAAATTCTTACATAAATACAAAAGGTGACACTCATTTCACAGAATGGCATTACTTGTAAGCTATATTAGCATTTACTTTTATTGTAAGTGAATATGATATAGTAAAAGTTATTCAGTTGTAGCTGCATTATTTGGCAGGGCAGATGAGGAGCTTCAAATCACATGCACGTTGCCAGTTCATTGTGTTAAACTGTTGAATTTAGTACTCAAGTCTGTTAAACAGGACCGGAAATGTAGAAGATGTCATGTCAATTCCAGTTTCATGCTTATTTTTCCTGTAGTTGAAAGGTTTAAAAGAAAGAAAAAAAACATCAGCAACTTTTATTTGTGAATGGTAGGTTTGCCAAAACTACCACAAAGCCTTTTGGATGATACTTTGTGTGCTGCAGCTCGTTTGGTCTCCTAATTGAACATTTGTTTTGCACTTCAGCTCTATTTAAGGTTGATTTACTAAAATGAAAAACTGTTTCCTCTTCAATCATTTCCTGATGGGTTTGTATTGTGAGTTCCTAATAAGAATGAAAGGGTCTCAGAGAGTTAGCCAAAATGACTGTTAACACGTTCTGTTGGAGGGAAAACCAACAACACAAAACCACCGCCCAAAGATCAAACTGAGCAGAACGGGATGCAGACTCAGTACACATCTTTACACATCTCTGCTGGAGATTTCATTGACTCACAACGACTACATTTAGCAACGTTTTTATTTTGCCTTTTTATAATTTGTGTGAGAGAGACAGGAAGTATGGGTGAGAGAGTGAGCGGGGTCAGCATGTACCAAAGGCAGCGAGAACTTTGCCTCTGTATATGGAACAAATTGCCTATCAACTGAGCTACACAAGCACCCCCGCAAAAGGCAGATTAAAGAAATAAATAAGTAAAAATGGCCAGAATAGAGGAAGCAGAGGCTTAGATACCACATGATGTTGTATTTCCTTTCATGCAACTCAACAGCATCTTTGTGTTTTTTGTCTGCAGCATCAGCAGTCAACCTTGAAGGAGAACTTTTCAAGGACTTGATGAAAGGCTACAACAAGAACGTGCGACCCATAGAGAAGAGTGGTGACATCTCTAAGGTCGACATCAAGATGACGCTCACCAACCTCATCTCTCTGGTGAGTGAGGTTCAGCCAGCTGTTTCTGACACCCACCTGACTCAGGGTTGTCTTTTCCTAACAAGCTGTCTCTCCTCAGAACGAGAAGGAGGAGGCCCTGACAACCAGCGTCTGGATAGAAATGGTAACTTCACACGCACTTCTTCTGCTGGACTGTCTTTGAGCTTTTGATTTGTTCAATATGTATGTACAATGGATTCTGCAGAGCTAAACCCACACAGATTTTCTATGTGTAGCAATGGTGTGACCATAGACTTAGATGGGACCAGCCGCCCAGGTCAGCTCTGTATGGGAACATCACGTCTCAGTTACGGGTCCCCTCTAAGAGCATCTGGCTGCCAGACGTCATCCTGGAGAACAAGTGAGTGGGACACCTTCAGATTTAAAATCTCGTCTCAGCCATAGAGACACTCACACTTTCATAAAGCAACTTTGACCACATTACAACAACACTAACCATTGATACCCTACAATGTCATTTTTAACATCTTTCCTCCACTGTGAATAACTTAGAATAACTGCAGATTACAGCAGCTGTGTTTTTATGGCCAGATGATTATTATTTTATTGGAATATATGGGTCTTATTTGTCTGAATTAACATTTTTTAAGAAATTAAAGTGATAACCAATAGTATTTATTTGATATATTTCTGATTTTTTCTTTCCATACTCCATCAAAATGGAATGAGGCAAAAATAAACACTGGAAACCTCAAAGATTTGAAAGTCTCTTCGTAACATTCAGATTAAAAGAACATATCTGTGCATTCTTTACATGTGGAAAGTATTTTTTTTAAGTGTGTGTGTGTTTGAAAGTGGAGTACGCTGGTGATTGTCAGTCTCCCTGTGTTCTGACCGGTCCACAGTGTGGATGGACAGTTCGAGGTAGCGCTCTACTGCAATGCCCTGGTGTCTCCTGACGGCTGTGTGTACTGGCTGCCTCCCGCCATCTACCGCAGCGCTTGTTCCATCACTGTCAACTACTTTCCCTTCGACTGGCAGAACTGCACCATGATCTTCCGGTGAGTGGAGACGAGATCTTTAGGAAATGATTTGTAGTCAAAGAGCGGTAGCCTACATGTGAAGTACTTAAGTTTCATAAAGTTCACATTAACTACAACATTTAATATAAATATTGTTTCATAAATATCACAGCATCTCGGAAAGGTGTTTGTCATACCAATCAAGAATGTACATTCACCAGATTTCTTCTAAGTTTAAAATAATAAAGATACAGTAGTAGATAAAAGTGACATGTTACAGCAACATAAATATCAGCTATGAGGTAAGGCAACACATAACTATTTAAATCAAGTAAGAAATAAAACATTAAAAATCAAAAGGCTGCAATTTAAAAACTCTGAAATTACACTTTCAACAATATGAATAAATTGTGGAAATATTTATGCAAAAATAAGTGTAGTAGTGCAACATCCAGGTTGTCTGAACTACTCCCTGTAGAAATAGTAAAGTATAAAGATACAGGTATAAGTAAGACAACAGCATACATGGTATGATCATAAAAGAGGTGGTGAACCCTCCATCTATGAGCAGTATATAAGCTTATTACTCTAAATAATTAGAGATTTATATAGTTAAAATCAAAGACAATGCGACAATATGAAATCATATTTTAGTACAATAATATAAATATTGTAGTAATGTAGTGTTAAAGAACAATAAGGGATGGTTTATGCTTATCATAAGAGCAAGAACAGGTAGGTAAAAATGTGTCTAAATGTATCTATAGAATCCATGACTTCTAAAGCAGGGACAATGTTGCCTTTTTTTAATGGTGCCTTTTCACTATGCTGTCTTGTTAAAGAGAATAGATGGTTGTGTTTGTTGTGGTGACAGACCTCATGTGTTCTCCCTGTGTTCAGCTCTCAGACGTACAGCGCCAACGAGATTGAACTGGTTCTCAAAGAAGAAGATAACCACACGCTGGAGTGGGTGGATATTGACCCAGAGGCTTTCACAGGCATAGTAACACTAAAACAAATATATATTTTCAACTCTCTATCAATAACTTAATGTCCCTTTGAAATGAAAACTGAATGAAATACACTTACTTGGTTTTTAGAAAACGGAGAGTGGGCCATCAAACACCGGCCGGCTAAGAAAGTGATCAACAGCCAGTTCACAAAAGATGAGCTGGAGTACCAGGAGGTGGTCTTCTTCCTCGTCATCCAGAGGAAACCCCTCTTCTACATCATCAATTACATTGTTCCCTGTGTGCTCTTCTCCTCTCTCTGCCTCCTCGTCTTCTACTTACCTGCCAAAGGTCTTTTTCCACACTCTGTGCATCTGAGAACATAATGTTTGACAGTAAAACTACTCTCAAGTTAATTTTACCAAAGTCTCAGAGATTTAAATCCCAAAAGATACTAGGGGGAAAAATAATTGAGTTATTTGTTTAGAAGAGAACAAAGAGAAAGTAGGTTTTGAATTTCTTTAAATGAGTCCAGATTTCTTAGATCTTTTGATCAAAACTTTCTCCATGAGTGTGTGTGTGATTCAAGAGACAGAGATATGGCTCCATAAGGTCACGATAAGTCAATAGTATCTGTTTTCATTCACATAAAACCTCACTGCTTTGTCTGAATATTGTTTTGATTCTTGCAGCTGGTGGTCAGAAGTGCACCATGTCTATCGCCACGCTTCTCGGCCAGACTGTGTTCCTCTTCCTCATCGCTAAGAAGGTTCCAGAGACTTCAAAGGCGGTGCCTCTTATTGGAAAGTAAGAACATGTAATCAGAAAGATTTCAATCAGAGAGTTGGTACTGAGAGTGCATGCTGCGACACGTGATTTCTGAACTTTTGACTGCAGGTATTTGATGTTTGTGATGTCAGTGACCACCATGGTGGTGATGAACTGTGTGATCGTCCTCAACGTCTCTCTGAGAACCCCGAACACTCACATATTGACAGACAATGTCCGAAAGGTGAGGTTGTGGGCCGGAACAAACCCTTTTGTACAATTCTCGTTAAGGAGCTTCTGAATGAACACAATGTTAGCTCTACATGGGTCTATTTGCCGCTGGATTACCCTCTGACCCCGTTTCTTCTTAAGATCCTACTGAACATCCTGCCTCGGCTGCTGAGAATGCAGATGAAACCCTGGACACCTAACGATGACAAAACGTCAGAAACAGTTGGAAATGGAAACGATCAGGATACAAACACCTTATTTATGGTCAACAGCCGACGCCGCAGCTCCATGACCCTCATCACCAAGGCGGAGGAATACACGATGAAAACAGCTCGCTCTGAACTCATGTTTGCCAGACTCAAAGAAAGAAACGGAATGGTGAAAACAGTGCTGGAGAGGCTTAGTAAGAATTCTAATTAGTTCATTTATGTTAAGAAGAATTAAAAGTGTATTCCCCCCTGTAACCATGGCGATAACTGGTGTGTCTTGCACACAGACAGCGGACTTGAGGGGGGCACAGCTGAGCAGATCAGTGCCAGCCTGGCCAGAGCGTCTCCACAGCTGAGGCAGTGTGTGGCCTCCTGCAAACACATCGCTGAGACTGCAAGGCAACAGAACAGCTTCCAGAATGTAAGGTCTTTTTTTCTTCTTAGTTTTTTAAGATGTCAGACACAATTATAGCCAAGAAATGATGGAAACATTTTAAATGAATAAAAAGGACTAAGGTCAATCATGTAAAAATCACATTATGATCCCTCTGAATGATGGTCAGGGTTACACTTCAACTTATTATTAGAAGAGTTATTGACTACCAGAACACCAAATCAACTTATTTAAATGAAAACTATATTTACACGTTACAATAGTTCAGCACAAATAGGCTTATGCCCTTTTCGGAGGAAGCTGAGAACTCAAACAGATTTCAGATTTACTTTTTTGTTTGTTTAAGTTTTTGTTTTTTTTCCTCACTTGCATTATTTTTGCAATCTTTTAAAAGTGCTTTTGGGTCTTTCCAAAATAGAAGCCGGTTTTTATCAATCAGAAAATAAAGCAATATAGGCTTAAGACACTTAAAATGCACACCAAAACAAAGCATCACAAAGAACAGTTGTGTGAGCCAATCCAATATTTGAGAGGTCAAACTAAACTGTACACACAAAATCAAATACAAAAATTCCCTCTCCCCATTTAACTCCAGCGTCACACCATAAACCATCCACATATAAAGCTTAAAGTATTACATTCACAGGTCCCTCTCAGGTCTTTAGAGTCACGCCCCCCCACCACCACCAACACCATCAAAAGCTAGTTTACAAAGCAACACATGCTGAATTCTATCCAGGCATTAAGGTAGCTTAATAGTTTCCACTCGACAGATCAAAATTTAGAGCACAATGTAAATACGTTCATGCTATAAAAGTTTTACAAATGGAAGGAAAATAACTGATCTTAGAATTAAATGTGTTTCCCAAAAACATTTTGTTAAACATTCTACAATTTCACATTCAGTCATTTTCTCTCACTGATATCCATATTCTCCTTCACCCCAGGAGAATGAAGAGTGGTTCCTGGTTGCCCGGGTGATCGACAGGGCCTGCTTTATCGTCATGGCCTCTTTGTTTTTTATCGGCACTATTGGGATCTTCCTGATGGGTCATTTCAACCAGCCTCCCCTCTCACCGTTCCCCGGGGATCCTAAGCGGTATCTCCCTCCCATGAACAATCTCACAGATCCAACCCAGAGCGGGACTGGGGCAGAGTTTTTGGGTTGACACAGAAGTAAATTCACCAGATTGTAATCCCCTTATCTGACGTGGAAATCAGGCTTCGTCTGTCAGTGATCTTTCACTAATGAGTGCAGAAAGGAGAGATGATACAGCTGCGTGTAATGAGAATCTTTGGATTATCACAAAAATGCTTGTCGGTGGTGATAAAGGATCTTCTGCACAATTGCATGAATACCACGTTTGCTCTGTGATGACACCTGTTAACCTTTCACAAATCTGCTGTGACTGATTGTTGAGGTTGAGAATAATTTGCATAAAATTCTGGATAAGAAAAAAAGAGCCATTTCCAAACTCTTTCTATTATCTATTCAATCCAAATGATTACTACAAAAGACATCAGTTGATCACACAGGGTACAAATAAACTTTTTTTAAATTAAAGTGCTACAGTAATCTTTTCATTTCATTCTCTAAAGAATGTCTTAATCATCCTAGTGTTGATAAAAAAAACTAACACTTTATGAAAGAAGGCTTGGAGGTCATAGAGAAAAAGTGCTGGTAATGGTCAATAAGGGACTAAAGTTGACACGGGTGGGGGGGGACTTTGATCACAAAGATTAGCAGTCCACATGTTTTTTTTTTACGTTTCTGTCTTATGTCGATACTGTAACATCTGGATTACCTCAGTTGTTATTATTATAGTTGTATTCACTTGCCTATTCTTATGATGGAACACTGTTTTTGCTGCCAAACTGACCATTTTGTTCATATGTAATGATTGATGTGACTGAAAATACTCCAATAAAAACTGTATCTGTTTGACACTGTTGCAAGACCTATTGAGAGCAGCGACATCCCCCAGACTACCACCAAAACACAGACCTGCTGCACGGCCCCCCACCTCTGGAAGCAGAATTTCAATTACATGGCTGAGCGCTGCTTTTCTCAGCCAACAAAAGGCAGGTCCGGCTGGTTGGGATGGTAACAGAGTCAGGGGGTGATACAGAGCCGGGAGGGGGGGAGAAGGAGCGGGGCCCTCCAGAGACAAAAAACTCACTTACAAAGCCAAACATGATCACGTTAAAATTCACACAAACACATGGAGGTGGTAAGGATGTTTGAGCTTCTCCCCTCCTCATCATGACGAGTTGTGGATGTTTGCCTGCTCTCTTTCTTCTCACACTTAGATGGTCAGATTGTGAAGGTAGCTGGAGGTCGACCACTGATGGTAAGCAAAAGTTAAGATTTACTACTTTGTTTTTCTGTCTTTAAACTCTGCTGTTTTAAAGAGAGGGTTAAATCTCATACATGTTTAAGCACCTGCAGTCTATGCTCTCTGTATTGGTCCTCTTATCATGTTTGTTGTTCAGGAAACAGTGTTGCATGCAGCGTGTATGTTTGGGAGGGGAGATGTCAATTAGAAGAGTCTCAGGCTGGCTGGCAGTGATTAAATAACTTTGTTTTAAAGGGAGGATGTTAATATTGGTGCCAGACATTTGTATCCTGCTGTTAGGAAAATGTGATGCAGGACAGAAGATTGATTATCTTTCCCTCGTAGGAGTCATTCATATTATTTAAAGATAATACTCTTCATTCCAGTGGTCCCCAAACCAGGAGTTGTGACCCCAACATGACCCTAACATTACCCCCGTTAGCTTTGCTTCTTTTCTTTATATTTAGTGGACCTTTAAGCTCTTATATAGTGCAATTTTCATTTTTTTCTACTTCATTATTTCAATTAAATAGTAAGATGAGAAAGTCAGAGGAGGTCTCAGACAAAAGAATAAATGGGAAAAAAAAAAAGTTCAGTGTTTATTGAATATTTCGGATCATGAAACCATAATTTTTCCAAAACATTTCAATATTCCCCGGAAATTATGTTATCAACTTTTTTGTACTTTTGTACATGGGAAGAACTAACCGTTGTATGTTAAAGTGAGTCCTTTATATTTGTAAAAAAAAATACCTTCCTTAGATGCTGTTGTTTCAAGGAAGACTTTTACTCGTGGAAAGCATTTAACAATTGATTCTGCAAAACTATATTTGTCATTTGTTGGACTGAAAGTTCATAAATAAATGAAGATGAGTGTCTATTCCAATACTGTTATATGTCCATTCCAATAGCATTATCTGTTACATACATTTTTCAGTTTTGTGCTATGTCAGCTGTGACTGATCAGCCTCAGCCCTTCGGAGGACTGGAGCGAGAGAAGCACATCCAGATGATCTTCAGAGCTTTCCATAACCGCTGTGGGCCTTCAGGTGAGTGCAAGACTTATTCACCTGGACCCAAACCTTACCCATCACCTCCTGACTGGAATGAGCAGCTGCCAAGTCTGAATTCTGGGAGCAAAGTAGAGAACATCTTCTACTTACAGTCACCGGGTAAAGCGGAAGAGCAGCATCCCGGAGGTGCAGCAGGATTAAACTTTATGTCTGTGCTGGAAACAGTCAGTCAAATTCACATCACTGCCAGACCTGAGCTGCAAGGTGAGTGGGGGAGAGGGGGTTGCTTTTGTTGTTGTTTTTTGTGTGTGTGTGTGTGTGTGTGTGTGTGTGTGTGTGTGTGTGTGTGTGTGTGTGTGTGTGTGTGTGTGTGTGTGTGTGTGTGTGTGTGTGTGTGTGTTTCTGGACCCCAAAAGGAGCACAGGGATTTGTCTATGTAACAGAATAATGCTCCATCATTGTAGGTCCACAGTGCGTTCCCAGGAGGATCTACAGCATCACCACGGGAGGCAACAGGTCCCAGTTACTTGTGGCTGTGGAAGGTACTTGTCCTTGTTCAGCTACATTCATCCCATCTTCAGCTCATATAAAAAGAAGGGGAAGGAGTTTTCAGTGTGTTCTCTCAGTCTTTCATTGATGTCTTCCTCCTGTCAGAGAGTTCTTGTGTGTGCCTCCAGTGTTGCGGTCCAGCTCGAGCCTGTACCTTGCAGGGCTTTGACTGTCAGGGCCGCCAGGTCTTTTCTTTTGAAAGACCCCTGAGGGTGGACGCCTGCTGCCTCTGCTGCTGCATGATGGAGATGAAGGTTTATGTGCCTCATAAACATCTCATTGGCTCTGTTTACCAGAGGTGAGACTGTGTGACTCTGCCTCAAGTTTTGTGCAAGTATAAACACAATAACATGCTCCCTTAGCGCTTTGAGTATAGCCAGTAAACCATTTACCATTTACCAAAGAGGCCAATCTCACTTTGAAACCTACATCAAAGATTAGAGTGCGTTACACAAGAGATTGAGACTTTATCAAATATATTTGTGGAACACTGATTTTGTTTGTATTTTTAATAAAATCAAAGAACAAAATCAGACTTTGCCGTGTTAGTCTACAATTATACAATTTTGTTGTCAGAAAGTTGCCGAAAGATTCTACATACAGTTTTGATGTGTTTTGGTATGTAGGTAAAAGAAACCTGTCAGCGCCCAACAACAGAATACTATACCAGCTCTTTTAATATTTGACCGTGTCAGACTGAATCATTTCTTTCCATGTCACTCCCAGCCTCTGGCCACCCTTAGCCTGAGCAAAAATGCCTGGGCCCTGTCTGTAAATAGCAGCAAAAGCCTTTACTGCTCTGCCCAGCCGGGCGTAGTCTAGACCTGGGAGAGTTTGAAAACACAAAACAGCTGTGTGCTCAGAGACACGCCGGCAGAGCTGCCGCAGGGAAGGAATGCGTTGCCTTTCCCTAATGGGAATGTTGGCTAATGGGTGGGATAGCAAACCAAAATACTTTCTTCTTCTTGTGGCCTAAATCTGACTCCAGGGTTAGCTGGTGTGCCTTTGTGTGTTCAAATTTAGAGTTCTCCAAAAGCAACGCTCGATGAAGTCCAATTACGGCTGACCTGGCAGAGGTTTGGGTGGCCACAGATCTACTTGGTATAAATATTCTCTCAGTTGTGCTAGAATAAAGAATGCCCCAATTTGAACTCCTCCAACACCAAGCTAACAATGGTTTTGGTGCTGCAGAATCATGACAGCTGAAAATTTGATCAACCAAGCATCAAGGCCAGACTGCGCCAGTGTGTGAAGAACTGGCCAGTGTATCTGATAGGTTGCTTATTGCATGATTATGTAAGAAACTATATTGAGTGGTTTTGTGTTGCCTGACTGTGTTGTCAGGTGGAGCATGTTCACTCCTCTGCTTGAGGTGTGCGATTCAGACGGAGCATCTAGCATCAGAATCCAGGGCTCCTGCTGTCCAAACCGCTGCCTCTCCAGCCAGCAATTCCAGGTCGGAATATGAAAACGCAAGAATGCAGCTATAACAGCATTTTATTCTGTAACTCTGGTTTTTAATCATACCCAGGTTGTCTCCAACGTTGGTGAGAAAATAGGCACAATTTGGAAGAAATGGCGGGGCTTCAATGAGGAGCATAACATGGACCATGAATACTTTGGGTTGGAGGGTGAGTAAGAACAAGTCATATCAGGCAAAAATATAGCCTGTTTGAATTGAATTAACACGACATAATATTCTCCAGATGCTCCAGGCTCTCCTGTGATATGTGAAAGATGGGCTTTTTAAAATTTGTATCCATGTTTTTTTTTTTTAAGCTCTTATGATTTTGGGGCTTTCATGCCTTTATTGAGATTGGATAGTTAAAAACTGGAAGAGAGAGAGAGAGAGTGAGGAATGAAATGCGGTATTGGAACTACAGGTCAGACTTGAACCTTGGCCGTCCGGTTTGATAGCCTATATGTACAAGGGGCGCGCAAACTGCCAGCACCCCTTCTCTATGTCTCTTTAACGTGTCCATACAGTATGGCATTTCATTTATGAATTAATACTATTAAACTGACTACTATTAAACTCTTCATAGACTCTCCAGAATCTGCTGGTTTCTTTAACATCCCTATTTGTATTGGTCAAAGTATTAAAATACAAGTATTGCCAATAGCATGGTAAATGGTTCCATTCCAGCAATAAATGCAATCAAATTAAAGTTTGGGCTGTATTTACGCAGGGATCCAATGACATCATGTCTTTTCATATTAGCATTGTCAGCTTTTGGGTATCAGAAGACTTTCATTTCTACATTTTATTTCATGTGCCTAATGATTTAATTTCAAAATCTCTTCCAGTGCCTCCGAGTATGGAATCACAAACCAAACTGATGCTGCTGGCTGCCACTTTCTTGTTGGTAAGAAAGCTTAGGAACATCTTTACCTGGCATGAAAAGAGGCCTGAAATCATATCACTGATAAACTAATCAGTGTTCATTGTTTTCTCTACAGAATCACATGTTCTTTGAAATGAGCTGATCATTGAGAAGCTTCAACTATTAACATTCATATTATTGCTGTCGACTCTTTTGTGAAGCACTTTGGGCTGCATGCTTGTATGTGTGCAGGATGCTATACAAATAAAGTTGAGTTGAGTTAAATAAACTGATATCATGAAAAATTGTGTATAACTAATGAAGCCCACCCGTCACTTTATGGCAAATATATAAATACATGATCGAATAAAGCTATTCAGTTTAACCAAGCTTGAACTTTCAGAGCTGAAAAACTAAACTAAAGTAGAAGTTAAAGAAAATCTGCAGTTCCTCATGTGTCCTCTTAAGGCATGCTGCACAAGTGAGTCAATCCTAACCCAATGTCAAAACACCAAACTTTAAAGCATGTAATGCATAAACATATTTAAAGTCTGTTATAAAATAACAATTTGGATATTTAGCTTAAATCAATTCATGACAACTTCCTAAGGGAGTAATTCTAAATAACGTACCTGTTTGAATTAATTTATAAAAACCACATTATACATGACATGCAATGTGTCAGAAGATACCATCTCAACTAATCCTTGTTTTAATCAATTCGACTTATATAATGAAACACTTTTTGCAGTTAATTGTTCTAACAGAGCGTCTATTCAGCCCCGAACGCTAACCATACCCAATGTTAGCTCTTGGAACTAGTTAACCATCTTATTATCCTTAGGCATAACGGTTGTTGACCGGAACCTCCTTTCCAGCTCCACGCTCACATAAATATCTTTACTTCTTGCTATAAACAAAATGAATGTGATATATGCCAAACTTCAGGCTTCAAAAGGTCAGTTAACAAAAGCCATTGATTGAGGTCAAGTTGGCTTCATCCACCATCTTCACTAATATCACACAGGAACATTTATTTAAGAAAATGACACTTAAGCAACTTTAGCAGCAGATGCATATTTGACATTTATTGCTATAATCCATCAGGTGTACATCCAGCAGTGCTTCTTCCCCTCTGATTCACACCTGCACCCATCGTCACACCACTAAATAAGGGCAGCATTACAGTATTTCAACACACTATGTCTTCTTTTTTTACATTGTTGAAAAAAATGATCCCGAGGAATTGATAAAAACTGTAACAGACCCTGACCCTGGGCCCATTTTCATTTAATTTACTACAAAATGTAAAAAGAGTGAAGGTAAGTGTTTTAGGACATTAAAGCAGAGCCCATTCCTTGGACTCTTTAAAAGGCTGGGAATAAAAACAAAACAGATAAGAGGGAAAACTGGTGTGGGTCAGGCTTGCGGCCAGGCACAGTGATTCAGGCAGCTTGGTAGTCCATTCTTAAGATGCCCGTTATACAAGCTTCTGCCCAACACAGGATGGTCTTCATCCTTGGGAATTCAAAGCCCAGGTCAAAGATGGAGAATCACAGTTGATTCAGTTGAGTGATCTTTGAAGTGGACTGTATTTACAAATATATTGTATACAATAATAATCTTTTTAGTTCGAAATGTCCAGAGGAACTGTTAAAATACAGCACGGTAATAAAATAACTCCTGCCTGCAACCCTGTTTGAGTCTCAATGTAACAGGTTAACACAAACACATTTTTAACAGCAAGAAGTCTGATGTTATGTAAAGCAATGGAATCTAGTATTTGAACAGATTGTTGTCTTTTGTCAAGTACACTTTGTTATCAGCTAGTGACCAGATCAGTCAACACCAGTCAAACATGGCCTCCCTCTGGGGGAGGCAAGTTACCATGTTGTGAAATCTTGCATTAAAAAAAAAAAAGACAAAAAAAAAAAAATGGAGGCTTTGTTCGTCTCTGGTTGATTAAAAACAACGCATATTTCTCTCTTCGGCTTGGTTCAGTGTGCTGTCGACATGCTTTTCTATTCATTTCCAATTTGACACAGAGAATGAAAAGGTCTTCTGATCCTGTCTTCACGTTACACAGCGCCAGTCCACACTGAGGTATCCTTTCCTGGACACGTCATCCCCCAGCACATCACATATTACAAACACCTATGCATCAGAAGCACGGACAAGCAAAATTAACAAGAGACAAAATTCTGAAAAAAATTCTGAGAATGTTTTGCTGGTGTTGCAACAATTCTTACTCTTGCAGAGGTTCTCTGTGTGAGGGGCTAACGTCCACCACTAGCATTCACCAGACCATGGAAGTCTTCCCAGGCTCTGCAAACAATCAGTGATGAAGTACTTCACAGTAAAACACACTCACTATCTAGATAGTTCTACTTTTTTGAAGGAAGAATCACAACACCATCAAAAGCAAATTATATTTTGCTTTTCTTTCTTTTTAACATAGAACGAATAATTATAATTTTACGTAAAAACTTTTTAATCAATATAACAGGTTGTATTTACAGCATTAAATATTGTGTAAAAAGTAGTTTCTAACTTCATCCTAATTGAAAACTCATATTTAGCACTTCAATGTCTTAGTTTTTCAAAAAAATGTCAGAAACTAAAAAATAAACATAATTTCTAAGAGCCCAACGTCACCTTTTCAAATAACTAAAAACTAAATGCAATTTGATAAGAGAAAGTAATGGCAGTCTGTTACATAACTTAGATGCTTAATACATCATCCATACATTACAGCTAATTTCACAATTTACTTCTGATGACAACATCTATCATGCATTCATTTATATCTGAGAAAGAGAGAGAGAGGTTAAAGAAAAAATAATAAAACGAGGAGACATACATACTTAATGCTGTCTGTGTGAGTCTTGTACTCCATGATGGTGTTGGGCGGCAGGTTGAGGACTCGACGTAGGGTGTCTCTGATACGAGCAGTGGTGGACTGGTCACTGGCTGTCTTATTCCAGATGGAGATGATGTCCTCCTAGTGAAGCAAGAATGCACGTCTGTAAATACTGAAGTAGGAAGTTCATGAAGGTAAAACCAGAGTGCGTGTGTGTGTTTGTTACCTGGAAGCGTACAGACACCACAGCCCCGCAGATCTCCTCTCCAACCATAAACTGCTCCCCCAGCATGGCCAAGATCAGGTTCTCCCAGCACCGAGACGCCAGGCCTTTCCTCAGACGGATGATCCATTTACCACCCATCTTATTGGCATCGTCCTTCAAAAGGCACATGCAGGGTTTTAGGTCAACTTTTTTATTATACATTAAGAGAAGTCTGATTCAATGTATTTAAATATGAGAACCCACCTCCCACATGGGTTTAATACCCTCTTTAAAGAGGTGAAAGTCACTATGGCCTGTCAGGTCGCCTGGCCGGATCATGTGACTATAGAAACGCCAGAACTGTTCCACCTTGGCAAGAGAAAAGAAATGTTTTCATCATCAACAACCTGTATGCGAGAAATGGTCAGCACAGACTTGTGATCGTGGATTTTGGCTGTCAGGTTGACCAAAGCGAAGGGCTACCCCTCCCTCTCCACTGTAGGCCCTCCATAAAGAGGTCATGAGGATTGACGTACCGAGGCGAAGCTGCCGATCTGTTTAATGTTCTGTTCATAGCTCTGAGTGCTAGCTGGTCTCCCTGGGGTGCGTCTGGAGTACCAGAAGGTGTAGTTGTATTGAAGAGGGTGTTCTCCTGGCCCTGGCACCACCATCTGCAGATCAATACCACAGTTACTAAGACCTATAATTAACTTTAATGTTTCAAACACACACGAGTAATTCTTCTATAGCCTCGCCTTTCTCTTGGAGGCGTTCTGGTCCTTGTCCTCGTCTTCAGTTTTTTCCTTCTCACAGTCTTTCGGTGAGCTTTGGTCCTGGTCATGGTCTCCACTGTCATCATCTTTCAGACTGGATGTGAAGGAAACAAGCACTAAAATGTCTGTGACATGCATAGAAAGCATTTTTTTTGAGACTCCTTTGGCAGTTTGCATGAAAACCTTTGTACAATGTATGCAGTCTAATATAACAACCATACAATACAGACAACCTTCACCAATGCAGTAAATTGTAGAGAGGGTTTGGCTCAACTTCATGGTAATTTTTGTTACTAAACACAGGTTGTGTTAATAGTGTGGTCTCACAAGTATTACTTGTTAATACAACATAGACATCTTTCCCATGTTAGTTGCAAATACACACCCTGTTAAAGATGAAAACGTAAATACCTCTTTGTAAACCAACCTCTTTGTAAATATAACAAAACACGCTGCACGCTTACTGCCCGTACTTCACGGATATGGTACACTTGTTTTAGCCGAGTATGGACGCAACTTCCTCGGCCTCTCAACAACTAACACACCGAGGATTCAGGGCCTGTCCGGCTTTCTGCCAGGCTAAGCTACAGCTATCAACACGGCACACTCCCCATTATGAAATACTATTTAATGTTTGTTGCTACTGTCCCTCGGTTCAAATGCAACTGTATGTGTAGAGCTTGCTCTCATGTGGGGTGATAAGCGTACACAGGACATGCAGGACCATGCAATGAAGCTGACACACCTCTCGCTTTACACGCAACAGTCTTCATTAACGTTCACGCTCTCCTCCGTGCATATGCAGTCACGACGTGGGGAGCCCCACTCTCTGGCTGATATTTCACAGAAACTTTTGTTTACTCACGCGTCAAATTTGTTGTTCATTTTTTTTAGGTGGGAGCCTTTCGGAGTCCAACCACAGCCACCTGAATTGCGCAGGAACGGCGTCGCGCAGTGCACGTGTACGCGCACGCCGTACAGTGACGAGCGTGCAGGAGCTCATCGATGACACATTGATTTCGACAACTGATGTGTTATTCACACTGAGTTCAGGCCTTAGACTGTAAATGTTAAGGTTCAGACATGCATGATCCAATGATAACATATACAAAAGCAAAGATTTACTTTATGTTTCAACGTTTTATTGATCACAACTCATTGAGCTGATCCGCTCACATAATAAATACAGTACCGTACCGCTGTAAGGTTAATTATAGCTTAGTAATAGTCTGTTAACTCTGGCTCCAATGAATAATCATAAACCCCATGACTTCCCCAAACAGACATGGGTGCTTGTGGGCAGGCTCACACCAACAACACAAAAAGGACTGGCAGCTCCTTCATATGAGCCGGCCTCCTCTGATGTGCCGCATCCCTTGTTTCATCCCTTCATCTGCCCGCTTGTCATCTGTTTGTGCGGCAACATCAAACTGCGGCACTGTTCAGGTCCAGAGCTGTGGACCGAGCGGTGGGGAGGGGGAGGTTGGGAGGCAAGGATGGAGTCAGAAACTATGTGGACTTCTTAAGCCCGATTTTGTTATTGAGAGAGGGTATGAAGAACTGACAAATATTGCAAGCAAGGTAAGGAGCAGAGTATCCGCAGGGGGTTGGTGAGAGACAGAAGGACTGTTCTGGCATGGTATGGCACGGTATGGTCTAGTGTGGTTTGGTTGGCTCTGCTGTCGGAGACCATCCCCTCGCCCCTTGCGTCTCTGTGAAGACCTTCATGAGAGGGTCCTTTGTTCTGGGCCGGCAGGCGCACCAGTGAGTGAATGAGCAAGACCAGCGGCGGCCCTCTTCAATGGCGGCTGTTTGTTTACACCGGCCAGTCCCGTCATACTTCATTAGCAGCCCAGCCCACCGACAACCTCTGATGTCCTAATCGCTGATGAATGTGTGGCTGCCCTTCAGCCCTGAGCCTCAGCGGTTCAGGATAAAGGGGTTTCCAGGATTCCCGACACACACATTCCCACTAAATCTGCCCGCCTGCCTCCTCAGCCTCTGACAGTACACATAAAGTACATACACATACATGAACACACACATGGCATCCACAGTGAGGGTGGACGAAGGGACCGCTTCTTTCATCATGGGCCAAGAGGCACAGCGAGGTGAGCCGACGTCAGTGGAGCAGCAACAGTCCCAGAGAACTAGCTCTGCATCACAGAGATGTGAGAGATCTGCCGCCCAGAAACACACAACACACAGAGACAGTGATTACATAGTGCTGCCATCTTCTGACCACAATCACAGACTTAAAAGTGCAAGTTTAAGTTGCTGCAGCAGGACTTTGCATTGGGTTTTTGTACTTTTTCTAATCTCTTTCGGCATAACATTACACTTCTCTAGAGAACTGACCTCCTCAATGGCTCTTCCCAGCATCTCCCGGCTTTTCACAACTTTCCTGAAAGACACACAAAATCCATCATCATTTCTGAAAGTCAAGAAATATTGATATCTAAAGCTCCTACTGTCAGCTTATTAAAGGATTAAAAAGAAATGATCCAGGCCCACCTATGAATTCTGCGAGCCAGGCTGAGGGTAAAATCTGCTGAGCAGTTGGGCTGATAGGTGGAGGGCACGATGGTGTAAGCTCCAGGAGACAGACAGCAAGTCAGACTGACATCCTGAGTGTAGCAGTGAGGGACACAGCTGGCCACAGGCTCTTGGTCCCTGGTCAACGTCTGATCAGGTTCAGCTTCTAGGATCTGGACACAGAGTGAAGATCAGTTAATCTGCCATTTTAACTTTAACGCTTTTGTGAGGAGGTAATCTCCCATCATCATGTTTGACCAACCTTGTAAATGTGAAAGCCAATAGGGTGCAGATGACTGTCAGGACGGCTCTGGTGCAGGGTAATCCTGACATGAACCCCTGACATCTCTGCTGACTCAGCACACACAGTGAAAGGGAAGCGTGGGTTCTGCCAGTAAGACAGGAAGTTCCTGCTTCCTCCGGCAGTTGTTCCCTCCACCCACGAGCCCCGGAAGTAACTTGTCTCCCACTCTCCATCAGTAGTTAATGGCAGTGAAGGTGCTGGGCTTTTCAGGGCACTGAGGGGGGATACCATCATAGGTCTGTCAAGAATGGTTACATTTAATCTGGAACATGAAACATTCTATACAGCACTTTACATGGTGAGACATGAAAATAGGAAAACCCATCATTGTTTTTTTTTTTAAAAAAGGAAATGAATGGGTTGACTGCGGTTCTTGCTGCAGTGTAAAAGGATAGAGTTATTTCCAATTTGTTTATTATTTTGTTTCTTAAGACATGATTTTCAATATGACCAGCAGGTGTCACTATGTAATTCTTTTTCATGCATTTTTGGGGAAAAATGGTAAACTCACATGACTTTCATATTTTGTTCATCACACATGAATTAAAAACACAGTTGTGACATGAAACTGTATGTTTAAGGGATTATTACAGATTGTTGTTGAATGGGAGAAGAACTGCTAAAAAGTTTGCTCTTCATTGAATGGTAGGACATAGAATTTTTGATCTTTAAAACGATGTTAAATGTAACCTATTTTTAACATTTTGTATATTGTTAATTTGATCACCTTTTCTTTTTGAACCTTGTTTTAATTAAAGAGATCCTACTTATATAATTGTATCTTCCTTCTTTAATCTATTTTTCCTTTTTTTTTTTTACTTTGGATTTGGAAATATGAGAAGCCAAACTGCTACTTACCTAATGTTGAAGTATTATTTTCTGTATTCCTCTTTGGATGTTTGTGTTTACTGGTATTTTATGGGTTTTTTTTTCAGTAGCCATTAAAAAATAACTTCAATGTCAACATAAATCAGGCTAAGACTCGGCTTTTGGTGCCATGCTCTTTTTCAGTTTTCTTTTTCTTTCTATTGATTTGAGAGTGAAGTTTGTCAGAGGTCATAACCCCATTTTTTGTCACCTGTTACTACAATAACAATCTGCTCTGGGACAATAAAAATTGTTTGAATTTGGTTATAAAGAGAAATGTTGCTGCATGTTTCAAGCAGCCCTTTTCAGAGATATGTGGACACTGATGATTTTCTCATGCTTTAGACTGTCACTCACCAGAAGGATGTGGAAGAGGAAGAAAAGACCCTGATAAGAAAGCGGGCCTCGACTCCTGGCTGGTAGGTGCTGGGGATCAGCAGGTAGTATCCGGGCTCCAGCTGCCCGTGCAGGACCACCTCTCTCTCATAGGCATGGCAGTGAGTAGAAGCACAAGGACGTTTGTTCAACATCCGGCTCAGATTAAAACGCTTCTTCTCCACCTGGAAACGAAAACAACAAAATCAGTGAAAAGAAAAAAAGAAAAACGACAACATCGTTGCTGATAATTTTTGGTACAAACCTTCCACATGTGCAGAGCGACAGCCTGGTAGTGCTGGTGCTTTGTGTTCCCACTGTCCTCCTGTGGTGTTTGTGCATTTTTCTCTGTATGTCTCCATTTTTTATGCTGTAGCAGAGATACTAGCACCTCTCCTCTCTCGCATACTTTGAGCCAATACTTCGGGTTGCTGCTGTAGCTGCTGCTGTTTCGGCTGCCACCAGCTGAGTGACCTTTCATCCACCGGCCCGCCAGCTGATGGTTGTGAGTCAGCACATTTCCTGTAAGAGGGAAATGTTAAGAAAGTGTGTATAAGAGATCAAAATCAGTAACTGTAACTATACAAAAAGTGATGTGACCTACCAGTATAGATGCTCTTAAGATGGCCCTCTTCACTGATTGGATATCCAACAGTGACATCATCAAACTGGGACATGAATTCATCCTCGCCCAGCCAGAACTCGCCATCAGCCGCCCTGGCTTGTAGCTCCAAAGCAGAAACGGGGTCGATAGAACTCCAACCAGCACCACTGCAGAGAAGTTACCTTGAATGAATGTGGACGCACCTAAACCTAACATCTGGACTTCTTGAATGCTTAAAAGTACATGTGAGTGCCAGCATGGCTGTCTTAATACTACACTACGACTACTCAAATCTGCATGGTGCTTTGGTGCTCTTTTGCTAAACGTGTGACAGACTTCATGAGTCCACACTGGGTGCAGATTTCACTTGTTCAGTTTTTATTTGATTTACATTTCATTTCTTGTATTTTATCATTTATTTTCCTTTTCTATTTTGAAGATTTTTTGGACCTGTTTCCCATTATTGGAAAGTGAAAACTGTGAGAGAAAGACATTCAGCAGAGGACCCTTGGGTGAGCATGCAACCTAGGGCTACTGCAGTTAAGGCTCATCCTTTGCACACAGGGTGCACCCTCTATCGGGTGATCCATTTTTTTTTACATAAACAGGTTTATGAAAGTTAAAAGTTATATATTTATTTAAAGGGGCTATATGTAACTTTTTACATGTATAAATCGTTTTTTATCGCCCCATTAATAAGCGAACGGTTAACTGATGTGAAAAAGTAGATGTTCACTGTCTATCTGTGTTGCCTGTATAAAAAGTTTCCCCGGGTCATATTTTCCGCGAAAGCTCCAGGAAGTGGCATTTTATGCACGTTCTCAACGTCCTCCTCACTCCACTCCATTTACAGAGATCAACAGTACAAACTCATCACACACTCCCGCTACAGCCAGAGGCCGCCTTCCACACACTTCTATCCGCCCTAGGAGCTCTTAAAGGCGGACAAACTCATCACACACTCCTGCTCTCAGCCAGTGCCTGCAGAGACTGTCGTTTGTAGGATGGAGAATGAATACAGACACACAGACTCCTTCACAGACTTTCACATGTGTATGACCATTTACCTCCTCTGTAAACATTATTCTGGTAAATATCCAGTGCTTCGTGGCCGATTATGATGCTCGTTTGTGTACGTACGAGCACGTATGACGAGCATGCAAGGGAGAGCGAGCAACAGGTTACTGGTGCAGTTCGCCTAACAGCCTGCGGTATCACTACAAATGCAGTATTTTTGAACGTTACACAGAGCCCCTTTAAAAAATGTATGTATCTCAAATTTCTTTGTGATTTAGACTTTTTTTTTTTCTTATTTATGTGCTAAGTTATTCCACATATCTAAAAAGGACAAATCTTGAATCTATGAAGCACATGAAGTGACCCACAATCCTACCTCTCTATCCATGCTCCTCCCCAGCAGCATCTTCCCCACGGGTTTCTGATTCTCAGCAGCAGGATTTCACTCCCTGACACCGTCTTCACATCCAACCACTCCATGATAGTCATCGCATGGTACTGACCCAGCTCACTGGCACCTAGAGCAGTCATAGAGGTCACCATGTTTCTGTAATAATACTTTCAAATATTGATTTCTTTTTTCTTTCACTCTATACTGATATACATTTTATTTAAACATGTTTGTTTCTGTAGCCTTTGTGAAGCAATTTGTAAATCCAAATTTGAAAAAGAGTGCTATAAAATAAGGTTATTATTCAGATACTGCTTATTATTATTAATATCAGCATTATTACTCTCTGACCTCCAGGGCTGCTGTGAGTGGAGCAGCTGATCGCACACTTGTCTTTCACTGGGTGCAGAAGTTTAAGGTCCAGCCTTCTCCTCCTGACCTGGTCACTGTCTTCTTCTGGTCTCTGCTCTTCCTCTGACCCAAAGGCTCCCAGACTCCAGCACTCTGACAGACCCCCGGTCACATCCACCAGAGCCTCGGACACCTGCCCCGCCCACAGTCGCTCGTAAGAACCATGAAGCCTAAACAGGAAACAGCGAGCAAAACTCCATTTGACATGTTGGGATTGCACTGCCATGTCAGTCAAACTTTCTGGAAGCTCGACCTAAAATCTAAGTTTAACTGATACACAATAGAGGAATTATTACAAGTTACTTACTTGGCATAAGCCTTCTCTAACAGGGCTACCCAAAAGGCAATAGGCGAGTGGCAGCGTGAGAAGCAAAGGGTGGAATTGATACAGGGCAAACGGTCGTCAATGGTTACATCTGTCCAGTGTCCTTGCTGCCAAAAATGAAACTGGAAGGAGCCCCTGTACCTGCTGTCCCCCCACTGTGGCTGGTCTGGAGGAAACACCTGCAGAGTGTCACAGAACAGGTCAGTACAGAAGTGTGGTACATACTTTTGATATTCCTATTTAGGAAAACATAATCAAACCACTTTGCTGCCTATTGACCAGTTCATTGAGGTGCTGTACAAAAAGGGAGCTACCTTGTTCAGAAGATGTTTGTTCTTTAATAAGAAGGAGCAGGCACAGAGAAACCAGCAGTCGCCCAATAAACCCTGTTTTGCATGACCCAGGCTGATGTTATCAGGGAAAAGAGCTGGAGACTCACAGATCTCCTGCAGCAGAGAAACAGACATAAAGCAGTATTTATTTATTTATTTATTCTGAATTAATAAGGACCTGGATTTGGAATGTATGGGAAAAAAAAAAAAAAATCATCAGCTGTTAGGCTGTTATGAACACACAGGTTAACACCTCTTAACAAAATATTATTTTGTTGGGATGCTTGATGATGGACATGGAAAAGTACATTTATATTTCATCCTTTATTTTAAACATGTTCTAGTGTTGAATTACCGAACCATAATGTTTAAACTGCACGGCCTATTTCATAATACACCCCCCCCCCCCCCCCACCTGATGAGGGAAATCCCTCTGCAGCTGAACGGATCCTGACAGGTGAGAAAAAAACCTACTTGGTAGCCAGCCAACCTCAATTTGATCAACATCCTATAAGCTCTGACAAAACAACCATTGAAAGAATTCCCTGTGGCATTTCCAATTTCCCCTTGACTGTGGCTTCGGTACCTGTGGGCGTCGCCACGTGATGTCTCCCTGCAGCCTGGCGATGGGCGTGGAGCTGTCACAGAGAAGGGAAATGTCCTCAGGGGGGAAGTCCTGGTCTTCAAAGAAAGCCTCCTCTTCACATTGTGCCTTGCTTTCTTCTTTCATCGCTCCTGCTTCTAGTCTACCTGTGTCGTACCTGCTGGGTCAGTGTCTGAACCTCATCCAGCTGAGACATCATCACTGCCTCCAATAACACTTCACATGGCTACCACACCTGAGAAGAAAGAGACAATTAGAGAACAAGTTACCGTGAGGTGTTGAAGATTTGTTGTCCACATATATAGGGAGATAAAGATTGAACCATGTTAATTCAGAGTGTTTTCCCTTCTTTGTTTTGTAAATATTTTTAACCAATGTGTTACAGGGTTGTTATTAATGACATAATCATATCATACACACAGGCATACATTCACATGTTTACAACCATGATAACAGTAAACTATTAACAAAAGCTTTATTCACATGGGCTCCAAACGACATTGTCACGTTATAAACAGAGTAAAGGTCATGTTGAGGCTTCCCAATGTGTTTCAGTTTCTCACCTTTCTCCTCTTTTCTGCATCTCTCCCCTCGTAGCTTCCTCTCTGCATAATAACACAGCAGCTAGCTCACCGTTAGCTTCAGCTAGCTGGTAACGCACAGATGCAGCATCTCCGCGCCTCGTCATCTTACCTTGATTTGACAAACATCACAGGCACAAAGACACTTTCTAAACAAATAGTGTGAACGATTTCGTTGAGTCTACAGGTCATATGTAAAATGCATGTTGCCGCGAAAGCCTTTTGGTGTAAACACGGATAGGCTCTTGTTGCAGCTCATTCATAAAGTAGTGAATCCTTCCTGTGCAGATGAACACGTCCGCCTCCTACTGGTGGTTCAGTGGACTACACAGCTGTGCACATGACAAATACAACAGCTGTTTGAACTATATTTTTGTTTAACAGATTGCAGATCTCTCTGAGCTTTTTTGAAGGATAAGTTTTGGGTCATATTGTCTTCACTGACAGGACCAGTGATGAGAGACAGAAATATTTGGAGGAGCAAAGTTCCAGCACACACAGCAGGAACTCACTGCAACATAAGAAAGATGCTGCAATCTAACACCGGACAGATGTTTCAAGAATGACAACGGGTTTTGTCTTTGAGATCCAGTGTTTGGTTGACTTCGACATTCAACATTGGACAGATGTTGAATTTATAGGCCTAGTCAAGGAGCAACCCCCAACATTGGACAGATGATTGAAAAACATTGGAAATGAAAATCAGTTTGACGTCCAAACTGTAACAAATGTTCAATGAGTCGACATACAGACCTGTAAGCAAGGTGAAATCTTTCAACCATCCTTTTTGTGGAGTTCGGATGCAACAGAATGAAAGAAAAAAACACCACTGACTTGACATTAACCATCGACATTGAGTCTCGTTGCAATGAAAACTAGGTTGACATCAAAACCCAACATTGGTTTGGTGTCACGTAAGATCACTTTAAGTCTAGTTATTAGATCAAATGTATGGAGAGTAAAGAAAGCATGAGAGTAGTTGGATTTGTTTCACTGAGAGACAGCAAAAAAGACTTATTTAAAAAAAATACTAGCTGATTATAAAAAAAAATATATTTTTATAATTGTATTTCAAGGTACACTTTGAGTTCTTATTCTATATTTAAAGCATACGATCTTTCAAATTGCTTTTTGATACTTTCTATAAAATATCAGATCAAGGAAGCTTAAGAAAACACAAAAACACAAAATATCATGATAACATTTATTTTCTTGCCTTTGAAGATTTAAATAAAGGTAGGCTAAATGGATAAACAATGTTGGATTAATTGAATTAAGCAAATCATTTTTAATTTTGTCTTTATTTTCCCTAACCCTAACCTGATTTTCTCAGATGATCTCCATGCTGCTTAACGCGTTCTGAGGCTGGAAAAAATCCAAATAATATGCATAACATGTCTTGACGCTGTACTGATGCTGTTTCCAGCTCAGAGATGGATTAAAAACTATTTTTTCCACTGTCTGTAACCCATACTAAGACGGGTGAAGAAGTTAATATATTTTCCTGAATATGTGCATTAAGACTTCATGCTGCCTTTAAAGAAATGACCAGAACATTCATCAAGCAAATACGATGAGTATTATCATCATCAAAGCCACTTCTATGACAGATTCTTAATAATACAGGCAGTAAAGGACATCTTCTCCTAGAGGAACAACATTGGTGAAATGTATAATGATTAAGTAAATAGTTTATTGAGTCATTCTAACTGCTTTCACCCAGCACCACCAGCAGCAGCAGCAGCCGTACTGTAGGGTCACACAGTAACTTAGATGTCCTCAGATAGCTTCACATCAGACCTCAGACTGTTTTATAGATCTAGATTCTAGATTATCAAAATATATGAGCTAATCAAGTTTGTCTCAGGAGTGAATATTACTTGTTCTTTAATTAAAAGATAATGTCCCACCAGAGACCAAGGAAGCTCATTAGAAACACACATTTTGTATTTGAGGCAAGCAGGAAATGATACACAATTATGTATGAAGCGGCAAAAGAGTGGCAAGAACCCCCTTTACTGTGGTCTGGTAAAACTGAATCGAGAGAAGTGATTTAAATATGTGCAACGATTTTTAAAAATAGATCCTGGCATGATGCTTTCATATGCTGGTGATGAATACTACAATATAGTAGTACAATATTGGTTTATTTTTTAAACTTCGTCTAATAAGCATCCCAGAAATGTAAATGTTTTTACCGAGGACACATTTGAGTTATTGTGCTGCTTTTTTAAGCTACTTTATAATTCTAGTTTACTACTAAACAAAAAAATCTAATATTTTGACCTACCAAAATAATAAAGAGTTTCTTGATTTAAATTTCACTCCTAGAACATGTGATCAGTTGAAAAGAAGTATAAACTATTGTATGAAAAATACTTTCTGTGAGACTTTTTGACTAGTTCAACTTGAGTAACATTTGAAATAAGATACCTTAACTTTAGATAGAGTACGTTGACGTTGTGTTTATTGAGTTCAGTTTCTGAATAGTTAATATTCAACTGTCAATAACAAGTTCAGAGATCTTCATCAGCATAAAGATACCTGAGAACAAGGAACATACAACGTTCATTTAAGTGGGTTGACAGCAACCCCAAACCATCAGAACATCCTGCTGACCTGATTGTAGCTTCAAACAATCTCACAATGAGGCCGTGAAGACTCTGTGTTTCATAATGATTTGTTTCCTTACAGCCAATTATAATTAACAAACATACATTTTGTTGTTTGGAAAATCTGTTTCAACAAAAGTTCAAGCTCAAAGGGTCCGCCTAATATCTTCTTTAGTTTTTCATAAAAACATGAATTTTAAAACTAAAAATCCCTGGAGGACATGTTGAGAGTCATAGGAGGATTGTGAAAAGTATCCAAAAACCTGACACTCTTATGTTTCTGAACAATAGAACAGTAGTTCACAGTATTATCAGTATTATGTGCTCTGTCTTTTACTATCAAAATGTTCAAATGTTACGAAAGGTCTGACTCAAGGAAAGTTACTCTCGTTTCATTAGTTACTTCTAAGCCGTTCCCACAATAAACCCTACTATTCATTGTAATTAAAGTTTCTAGAGAGACATGCTGAACTTTTAGGTTTGAAAAATGTAAACACTTCTGTTTTGTTTTTATGACTGCACTTCTAGACGACTAGATTAGAGTTAGTTGTGAAAAAAGCCTTAAGGACTTTAAGTCAACAAAAGACCAGCATCCACCTCAACAATGAGTCCAACAAAAGCACAAAAAAGCAAGCTCAGAGTTTGATCTGGTGCAGTTCTTTTGGCCAAATGGATATTCAACTAAGTCTGGAGAAAACCTTAGGTCCTCATTTATGGGAATTTACTTTAGTATAAAAGCTGATGTTAACTTGTTTGCCAAGGTGGGAAAAATGCTAGTTAGGGACTGTATCAAAATACTGTCTTTAGTGGATGCTAAGATTTACTGGCAAAATATCATCTAAGTGGACATGTGAGATGCTAGCCAACGTGATCCACAATTGTTGTTTGTATCCAATAATAAAGTTTGTAACACTGCAGAGAAAAGCTGTTAAACTAACCAGATTCCATTCATAGCGTTTGTGTAAGCACACATGTTTGGGTGGATGGTATGGAAAAGAATGTATGAATATGGTACTGAATGTGTCAAATACACATGGTGGGACTTCGGTGGCGGGGGGGTTCAAACACGATATGATTTTGCTGGAAAGTTCATGATGCATGTTTCTACAGACGTTTTGAGTATCGTGACCTATTTAAGTGGCTACCCATTTTTTCTTTCCTTTCATACATGGTCCTTGAGCATGCAAGAAGTGTTCCTCTGACCTAGAAAAGAACATGCAGTGTACAACCTCAAAGCAACCTACTTATAGAGGCCCACATAAACCAAACTTTATCCTCTTTTAACATCTATACGTTGAGTTTAAATAACTTGTTTTGTCATACCTTTAATGATAATGTTCAAGGTAAAAGAAACTTAGAGAGGAGCCTCACCTTTCCACGCTGAACTGCCTCTAGATAAATGTCTGTTGTATAAAGGTGTGGTGATAGTCCTAACATATGTGACCTGACAAATGTTGTTGGAGTTTTCAAATTGATATCTCTTAAAAATGTTACCACACGCCCTTTTGGTACTTTTTTTTTAATTGCGAAATGTGAGAGGGGAATTTTTTTGTGGTCATACCTTTGTAGGCAGACCCTGTGTATACCTGGAGAATACTATATAAGGCTGCGATGATCAACAGTTTGTCACCACAACTTCTCAGACCCCACCTGAGGACAGACAAGACAACAGCTCAGCACAGAAGAAGACATGGTGTCAATCAAAGCTACGGTGATGGTGATCACGCTTCTCACCTTTTGTCTGCTGGGCACAGGTATGGAGTTTTCTTTAAGTCTGCCTCAAATTTTTTTTTTGTTTTCCAGTTTTGAATTGATCATAAGTTTCATGCATTCTTTTTCTTTCAGCGTCTAGGTATCATAGCTGTTGTCGAAGTTATATTAGCACCAAACTTCCATTCAGTGTAATCAAGGGGTACTCAGTCCAGTGTGAAAAAGAGAATTGTCCAATCGGTGCCATCATGTGAGTAAGAGTAGAATCTCCTTATTCTTTACCAAGAAAAAATAAACATTGGACTCATAATATCTGTTATGATAGGTGTCTAAATGTATTGTGTTTTTTGTGTTGCTTTGAATCTAGTTTCCACACAAAGAAGGGCAAAGACGTTTGCACCAATCCAGCTTTGAACTGGGTGATGAACTATGTCAACCGCATAAGGTAAAGATATTTTAGCAAAGACATCGTGCATCATATCTAACCTTTAAAAGAATATTGCTGAACTAACTTGGTCAATTCTCATTGCAGGACTGAAGCACAAATTGCTCACAACAACTCACAGTCCAAGCAGTAAGAGCTGTTCTGGTGTCTGAAGAGAGTATACTCCAGTTCTCAGTTTGTTTAACTAATCCTCTGATTGTAAAAAAAAAAAAAGCAAAGATTTGCAATTAAAGTCTCCAGCTCAGTTGTACAGTAAAAGATTTGAATGTATTTTTTCATATATAATGTTGTGTTTGTAAATGTTATGAGTAAACATTAAAAAACAAAAAACACATTTTGATTTTCTTTTTTGTGTGTGTGTGTCGGGGGGGAGAATAGAATATCTACTGTGTCATGGGTGACAGGTGACTCAACACTCTCCTGGGTTTTTTTTGAGAAATCTACCAATAACTTCCTTATTTATCCTTCCTCATGATCTGGAAATGTTTGGTCACGTGATCAAGACCTGGCAAACAGTGCCAATAATAACAACAATATAAAGTGTTGAGTGTCCTGTGACATTAGCAGGAGGAAGTTATAAGAGATCTGCTTACCTGAAACACAGGACAGGTGTTTCACGCTGACACGCTGTTGTAATAGGCTGAAATGCTTCGTTGACATTTTAGAACAGTATAGTGATCTTTTATCAGGGAATAATGTTCGTCATGATTTCTTGAAGATTTTTAAAAATGTTTTGAAAATACGTAGCCTATTAGTTCTGTTTCCCTTGAATGTTTGACTATTTTTAGGGTACAATACAGCTAAATAACACAAATAACTTCACAATTATTGAAATACTAAAACCTACTGCTATGTTACATTTCTTAAGACCACTGTACTTTTAATCCTTTATTGCTGATTGCCTAAACACAGATCCGAGGTAAACACATAGAATGAGGAGATATTAAATGGACCAAAAATACCCTAGAAAACCCTAAAATAGGCTTTTAAAATAAAATGCACACACACACATACAAACACTCATACAAATAAATCTAAAAACAGAAATACCATGACAAAATACAAAAAAGTGAAGAAGCACAGCTAAAAACAAAACCTCTGAGGTTACTGTAGACACATATGCTACAGAATAATGGTTATGATTTGACAATACTTTGATTTTATAAAAGATGGGTAAAATGGTCATAAAGTTAGCAAACTATCTATATCTATACTGTTTTGATTTGTTCAGTGCAGTGCAGCTTGTTATTGATTTATGACTGTATAAAGGAGAAGCTTTCTACCTGCAGAAGAGAAGTCTTACTTCACAGTCCCCTTATTAGTCATCTTTATACATCTTCCAGGGGTTGATATCTATTAATAAATGTTTTTACTGACAAGTGAGCTAAAGATTATATACATGTTGCACCTTGAGATTTATGATATTTATCATTTATAAATATGGTGTGATTAAAGGATTGATGTTTTCCCTACTTTAAAAAGTAGCAGCTCTTTTTGAAGCAATCAAAAACTTTTCGTATAAAGCACTTCAAAAATACAAAAACAAAATGTTACACATTGTGTGTAAAATGTTCACTTTTTTAAATCCATGGGCTTTTTATTAAATTAGCTATGATAAAACAAAATCTTCAAAAACAGAATTCCAAAAATTTTGAAAATAATAATTAAAGAATGATTAGTTGTCTGATGATTATCGTCATTGTTGTTTGCCATTGCGTGATGTAATTTCTACAAAAATGACACAATGCAAAATCTACTTACGTGAAGTAATTTTAAACTTTCTGAACACTAGATGGCAGTATTGTCAACTAAGTGTTGTGAAATAATGTTTCAGCACTTTTTGTTGGTAAGAGTTGTTCTGGTGTCTGAAGAGAGTATACTCCAGTTCTCAGTTTGTTTAACTTATCCTCTGATTGTAAAAATAAATGCAAAAATTTGGATTTGAAGTCGCCAGCTCAGTTGTACAGTAAAAGAATTGAATATATTTTTTCATATAAAATGTTGTGTTTGTAAATGTTATGAGAAAACATTGATAAATGTGTGTGTGTGTGGGGGGGGGGGAATGAATAGAATATCCACTGTGTCATGGGTGACAGGTGACTCAATACTCTCCTGTTTCTTTTTTTTAGAACTCTACACTGCTCCTCCTTGAGGTCATACCAACTTTTATCTTTACTTCCTTATTTATCCCATTTATTGTTGTAGTTTTGGTTGTTCAGTGTTGATGGTATCAGTCTGGTCAAGTTTAGTGCTGGATCACATGAATACGTGGACGTTCAGCTTCAGCATTGCGATTCAAATTCCCTTCAACACTTTGAACAAAATGGGCTTATTGTTGATATGTTTAAAGGAACTCTGATTTTGGAATCAGTTTTTTTGTTTTAAGTGATGACAAAATTATGTTGTCCCAAATGTGTCAAATCTCTGTCCGTTTGCAGAAGCTTTCCACAACGCCAACAAAGATGAACAAATGATCAAATGAGTGTTTTTCTCTTCGCATGAATTCATCCCAAATGGCGATGTGGAGCTATGCTCATGGCCATGATTACATCACCTCCGCTGTTCTGCACCACTGTACAAAGTGCTTTTCTATGAATAATACAGAGAGACGAGGGACATGGACATGGGACTTGGTAACTAAACGACAGAAAAGTGCATAATGTTAGAGAAGAGTGAAAGAAGCCTTGTTAAGGGGGAGTTAAGAGGGATATTCTGGATTGAATGATCATGTTTAATCATCCTGTAAATAATCAAATCAGACACTTGTGAATGGATTTGTTTAAACTTTATTGATTTAATGAACGAATCAGTCATTAAAACTCCATAAACATTTACAAATCCATAAAAGATGTGTGATCTCTGTCTGCATGTGTTTCGGACTCAGGACACACTGTTGTAACACACGAGTGCAATGAGAAATGTCATCAGTAAGGCCAGTACCAGACTGTCTGAAGGCAGACAAGGTTATAGACTGTGTGTTTTCCCATGAGGGAGGAGTCTGCTTCAGTACAGAAAGTAAATAATACATTGCATCCTGTGATCAGCAGACAGGCCCTCCGTCATGGCGTACGTGCACACAAACACACTCTCATAAAGTTCACACACAGATAATGAGACAAACTCTGGTCTTTGAGAATACCTTATATCCTAGCCAGCTTGCAGCAGCACCGAGGGAGAATATATTGGAAAACATTTTGAAATCTCGATCATCTTTTTCGTTGGTGGTTTCATCTTTCCGCCTTTTTTTTTTTGTTCCCCTCGTACTCCCTCTCTCTGTCACTCGCTTATTCTTGCCGGCACAGTTAACACAGAGTTAACCGAGCTGGGTGTATAATTAGACAAACAAAAAAGAGAGGGATGAAACATCTGAAGGAGAAGAGACTCCAAATGATTACACATTCACTCCGCTTCCTTCCCCCTTGCTGCACACATAACCACCAATTAGAGGAGAAAAGAGGAGGATGAGGACAAGCAAAGCAGCCAGAAGTCTATTTGTGTCTCTCTCTCTCTCTCCCTCTTCTTCTCTCGTTCTCTCTCTCTTTCCCCTGAAGACTCCCAGCACCAGGGAGGGAGGAAGAGAGGAGAAAATAGAAGTGAAAAACAAGAAGTATATAAATAAAAAAATCAGAGTGCTTCACATCCGGTCGGCTGATTGGCTGAGACACGAGTCAGGAAGATCTGGGCCACAGTTGCACTCATTGTTCAGTGAGCTTTTCTACACAGTCCAACCCAGCGACAGCAATGAATGTTGATTGTGACCTTTTGGTCTTTTGGGCACAGTGGAAACAGAACGTCACTTTTCCTGCATGTGTGATTCTTCGCCTATGGATTTGCATGTGCTCACTTGCCCTTTTGCTCTTTTTTTGACGTCGTCAGAGCAAGCCACGGGGCACAGTCAACGGTCGATGGTTTTTTGTGATCCAAAACAAACTCACCGACAGCGTTGAATGTTCACCGAGGCAAGCAAGGACAGGGGCTGTGACCGGGAGATGATGGACAAGGCAAGGCGAGGAAGAAGGGAGGACAGTGGAGGGCATTTCTTGGACCACTGGGACATGATGACATAGGACAGTGGCAGAGTGAGTCCACTGTCTGCAGGACAAACCGCTCTGCTTATGTCGTGCATGACCATATTGCGTGTTTCAACTACTGACTGTGTAAAAAGATGGACAACATTACAGCTCTCCAAAAGTGAAGCGAAAACATTTGGAGCTCCCCTTGCTCACTGGCGTCAGTATAGATCATGAGCTCTGTCGCCTCTATTTCATCAGAATGGACATGGGTCACACAAAATCCATATAAAACTCAATTATGATTTTCTCCAAGGTTAGCAGTAAATTAGCAGAGTAGAGGAGGAACGGAGAGAGGAAACATGATTAACTAACATTTAACTTTTCATAAATGTGAGTGTATGATACAAACCAGAAGAAACAATTCTGCTGTGTCCTGTACCGACATGAGGGATCTCTGCCATATTATTGGTAAGTTAAATGTGTATTTTGGTTTGCAGAAAGTCGGATGTTAAAACCGCACTGCGCTAAAGTCTGAACTGCGCAACTCGGGCCCCACATAACATCATCAGTGCATGTCGTCAGGGGTATTTTGGCTTTACTCTTTACAACAGGAGGAGGTGAAGATACGTTGTCCATCTTTATTCACAGTTCATGGCTTAAACCTGGAACATAAACTGAGAGGAGCTGCTTTATTTCATTACCACCACATTAATCAGAGGAACCTCCAGTCTTTCATCTTCTCTCAGCACCTGAAACACAAATAAAGAGGAAGTTGTTAGTATTGAGTATTACACTGCATTTTGCACCTTAAAGTTACAGTAATACCACAATAAGTAATACATCTCTTCAAGCAGCTATTATCTGCTGTGCACAATTTTATTACTACGTTTCAACTCATTGTGGTGATAGCATTCAGAAACATTTGATTTAGTCAACATCATTTTGTTTAAATTTTTTTTTTTTTTAAATGTCCCATCAGCTCTGAATAATCCACCCCAATCTTTTTACAGGGACTCCACCTCCATTTCCAGGAGTTAGAAAGACGACTGACAAATAAAACCAAAACTTATTTGTCCATGGATTAAATTGGGGGGGATTTAGTTTGTGAACTTTGGGTGAATTTAATATTTAACAGATATGATTTCAATCTTAAAGTCATGTTTTTCTTTTAAATCCTCTAAGCGGTTTGATGAGGCTCATAAAAATATTACAGATGTATACGTGGAAGCTTGCCACAGTACATCCAGTTCAGCGCACAATGCTGCAATGTCCCACTGAGAAGCCGAGCCTTTTCAGACCCCAGCACAACACCAGGCCACAGACTGAGAGCTCCCATTGTCAGGATAGCTTGGGAACAACTGCCGACAGTGTCCCTACGCTGCTGCGCAGACAGGAGGACTGACGTCATGATGGTAAATGCTGATCTATGGTCATTCATCGCGGCCGTTTCATCGACTCAGGCTGCTGATGTCACTGAGCAGACTAGACCCGCATCCATTACTATGCTGAAGGCAGGCCGACGTCAGGCAAGCATGATAACACGGCGGCCACAATGGATGAGTAATGCATCACGGTAATATTGCGGCTATAATTCAGAAGGTCATAAAGCAGACAATTTGGTCTTTGTTTTGTAAGTATGCAGAGTATTTGAATTACTGCTTTAGCATTCTTTCATGGCATGCTTTATGAATATGCAAAAAAAATGTATAAAGTCATTTGTATGATCATCGAAGAAGAAATATGTTAGAGGGTAGGGAGTCAAAAATGCAGTGAAAAATGTATAGCTTCTTAAAACTTAGATCACTTTAAACTGTGTGCATAATGAAGAAAGGGTTTCTTTAAAGCTCTTCGTGCTAATATTTTAGCGTCTTAACTGCAGCATGTGAACCAGAAGTCTCTCAGAGTAAAGCAGGACAGATAAGAGACTAAATTCATAAGCCCTATTACACCACACACACACACACACACACACACACACACACACACACACCTCACCCCACAATGAGACCTAAAATGAAAAATAGGCCCAGGGTCGAGGGAGAGGAGCATAAAAAAGGGGGTTGGGGCATATCTCTACCATGGCAACCTTAGTGTCAGCCAGCCATTTCTGCTTAATCCCTCCCAGTTCAAGAGACCCTCCAAGAGACCCCCACTCTCTACAGCTGAATATTTCTTTTGTGTTCAGAGACTCTGTATATATGCGAGTGTGTGTGGGAGGGAGGGAGGGATCACAGCAGGGGGAAGGATTGGGGTTAGAAGGGGGGAGATCATAGCTAACCCCAGCTTAAATGGGGGGCCAGGCTGCAGGCCACAGAGTCTCAACATTACACAGGGGGTACAACCCAGAGATCAAGTCACACGCACGCACACACACACACACACACACACAGTTACACAAACATTTAAACACTATATTGATGGAGGGAGATAATCTCCTGAAATAGCAGATAATTACATCGTGTGGCAAACAGCCGGACTGTTTCTCCTCCCTGAGCCTATCAACAAAAAAAAACTTCACCCCCCCCCTCCTTCCTGCTATGAAACTCTCATGGTCTCTCGCTCCACTTTCCTGACAAAAGCATTTTTTGAAGGACTGATGGGGAGAGGCTTCAGCTGCTAGACAAAATTAAAAGGCCTCAATTTTTTCCTGACAATAAACGTCCCCATCCTTCCGAGCTCCTCCACAGCTGCAGCGGGATATAGGCTTTCATTTCTTGCTGCAGAGCGACGTCTCCTTCCTCTAACCGTAAGCCGATTTAGTGTTGCGGCAGAAAATTCAGGAGGTTTATAGTCGTCTTTCTGTGATGTCTCAGCACCAGGAAGCAGAAAAGAGAACCTGACACATGGGAAATCGTGGTTGATGGAGAACGTTAGGGTTGTAAGAAGTTGTTTTTAATGATGACGATAAGTATACCTGATGGAAACGATCTTCACCGAGTCACATAAGGGGTCCCAAAGTGAAACCTAAAGACAAAAGCAGATTTAACATTTTAGAAAGTAAGAGGCAAAGAAAGATAACTCAGACTGGCAATATGACCATCTTAAATAAATTCACAATAAAAGAATTCTTGAAAAATGTTCTTATCAACTGGCGATTAATATCCAGCTCATCCACCAGAAATCCCCACCACCACCACTTCCACCACACCCTCGACCCCAAAGGCAGAGCGACGGAGGCAGATGGAGGAGGAAGTGCCAGCGGTGCGTCTCTGGGGTGGTCTGATGTGGCCGTGGGCGAGGCTTTAATGTAGCTGCATGTCCACTCCAGTGTATACTGTACATTCAGTCGTAATGACTAACAGACCTGCAGTCTGCCTGCCTGCAGGGGCCTCACACGAGACTCACATGCCTACACATGCATATGCTCCATTTTAATGGCAGCCTTCAGACTTTGTTTGAAGTGCTCTGTGGTGTTCACATAACAAAGAATAGAAAAAAATAGGAAGCAGGATTTTCATAAGCGAGTAAAAAAAACATGACTTTAAGGACCCTCTGTCTGACCCCCGTGGGGTTCCTTGTTAATAAAGTGGCCTTTTTTAATAAAAATATGGGTAATTATAGTTCGGCTTCTTTGTGAGGTTATTTCTAGCATCTGGGTTTGCCAAACATCTGGCTGTGATATTATAGTAGACATGGACTGCAGACATTATCAAAAAAAAAAAAAAAAAGTTTATTGTCAGACCAAAGAGTCTAACTTAATTTGAAAGGCTCTGCAGCTTCTATTTCTAGACTCTGTTAAAATGATACAACAATGAAAGCAATTTGTACATTTTTTTACTATTGACATCCAAGTCAAAACTCTCTTCATAGATTTAATGAGAAAGTGAAAGTGTTCTACGCCAATCTAGTCTATTAGAGAGCAGAGGGCACATTGTAACACAAGGTGCAGAGTCTGTTCAACAAGTGCACAGACATAAGCCCCAAAAGAAAAGGCACAGAGTTAGAGCCTTAGGCCTGATTGGCAGGGTGGGGTCATTCGGTGACCCCTGGCCTTTCTAACCCCCAGGAATGTTGTCATGCTGGTGCGTGTATTGTTCCAGCCTCCCCGAGGAGTCGCAGCCGTGCATCAGATGAATGTGAACACTGAAGGTTCCTGAGGGCTTCTCCTCTCCTTTATGTCCATCCACCGAAAAACAACTCCTCTTTTTTCCAATAATCCTTTTTTTTCTGCTCTTCATCCTCAGACTTCAACAAACAAAAGGTATTAACAGGTCTAAGAGTGGTCTGTGTGGTTAGTCTAAAGTGCACACACACTCAGAAAGGCCACTAACGTGTGGATGCAAGGCTGACACTCCTCGCCGACTTAAAAGACCGACAAAGATACATTAAAAAGGGGTCTAAGAAAAACTACAGTCCAAAAAACCCCACTCTGACCCGTCAGTCATCACATAAACATGTCTTTTTATTGGTCCTCGGTACAGATCTGAGAAATGAGAGTCTGTTTCTAGAGGAAGTAACCAGCAGTCCAAAGGAGACTGACAGATGAGAGAGCCAGACAGACAATTACTGGCCAGGTATGTCCTTTATACCCACCTAGGGCTGGACAGAGGAAATGGAGGTATTTATGATGTCATAAAAAAGTGCCAGAAGAGAGGTGCCTTAGAACAGGTTGTCTCTGGAGCAGAAGCCATAAAAGACTCCTGCGGCTTCTGCTCCCTCCCCCTGACTAGCAGACGAGATGATAACACAAGACTTAGCGCCACTCTTGGTAATAGCAGACGGACACACACACACACACACAAAAAAAGCAGGTGTGTGTGTGTGTGTGTGTGTGTGTGTGTGTGTAATTTAAATCACCCAGAAACATGGGATCATGTCCCTGAAACAAGGAATTCCTTGAAATACCTGGAGGTGCAAAAAATATTTGAGGTACAAGCACTTCAAGATTCATACTCTGTGCTACTGCTGACTCATAATTTTCAACATATCAGAAATAGATTTTTAGTTCTTTAAAATATTCTTCATGGGAAAAAAATCTGCTCGTGAATGTGGTTCATAAATTTCATGTAGGATTTTTAATTAATACTTTGGTTCATTGTACTGCAAGTACTCCATCACTTAAACTCCTCCAGAGTCCTTTACAGGATTAAACATTTTTCTGTGAAGCTTTTATTTTTTCCCTTTCAAATTTTTTTCAATATCTTTTTACAGTTTAAACCACAACGGAAAAAATCTGAAAAACAGGAAGCACTAAGAAAGCACCATCTGCCTGCTCAAGCAGGTGTAAGGAACAGTAAGCATAAAAATGTAAACATACAGAACACACTTTCTTCTGTGCACGCACACACACACACACACACACACAAACTAATCTACACACACACAGCAGCTCTACTCTTCCCACTACAGAAAGATAGAGACACACTGTCACAGTCTCAGTGCTTGTTTAAAAAAAAAAGAAAAAAGGAAGCGAGGTGGTTGTTATTTGCTCTACAACCTAACTAAAGAGGTTTCCCATTGTAAAAAGGAGTGGCTGCAAAGCCCCGTTTCCTTTCATCCCTCTCCTTCAGGCACTCTGCCTTTGTCTCACACAGGACAGAGCAGCCAGCCTCCCGGCTACGCTACACTGGTCAAATACCTGAGAACTACTGCTGGCCTCGTGGGAAAAACGACAAAAAGGAGGAAGAGTAGGAGAGACGGACAGAGTGGGGGGTGTGGTGTGTGTGTTAAACCGAGGTAAAGTGTGATTGACCAGTAAAGACAGAAGAGCCTGTTTAATAAAACCTCTTATTAAAACTCAAACAGAAGGAGGAAGTTGTCAGGAAAACGGATCATTTTTTTTTATTACATCAGGCACCAAATGTCCCTTAAAAAAAAGGAGAGTTGTTTTAAGTACAAAAAGTAACACTTAACATGAGTTCAGAAATCTAAAATCCACCAACTGTTTTGACTTCTCTTTGAGTTTCGGTCGTCCCTTACCCTTCTTATTAAAAAGAGTACCACATACAGTATGTGCAATTAAAACTCTGCGGTAAAGGGAGGCCCATCTGATGCGCCCCCTCCTCTCCAATTCTGTACTTTTCATGCCAGCTCAGCAGAAAGAAGGCAGTTCCTGTATAGGGGTGAAGTGAGTTTAAGTCCACCCCAAACCTGACCGCAGCAGGCTGAATGTAAAGCTTTAAGGTTCCAGCCTCGGCATCCAGACCTCACTGTCACACCTCATAAAGCCGAGCTCAGGCAGCGGGCTTGTGCTTAAAGCCAGGGGGAGAAAGATAAGGCAAAATAAGGACAAATACAGAGGAAAATAAGAAAGCACCCATTCAAGAAACTGTCAAGAAAGAAGTGAAAAGCCCTGCACAAAAGCTTTTTTTTCTTATTTTGCTGAAACTGTGATGGCACATCTCCAATGCGCTGAATATAAAAATTACTTTCAGGACAAATTGCAGCAGGAAACGTAAGAAAGTAGAAACAGCATTGAGGGATTCTTAATCCTCTCTGCTTGTTTCTAGTTTCTGCTTAGCTGTTTGAGAGGGAAGCGAGGAGTTTATTTCAAATAGTCCACAAAGAATGCCTGTCATTTCCTGGCGTTCCCCACTTCCATATGAAAGCCCCCCCTTTCCTTTAGGAACAATGGGAAAGATTCCAAAATTTCCATGGGGAGTTTCTTGCACAGCGATACAATAGAGATGCTGGGACAGAATTGAGACAGGCTGTGTTCTCTCAGCTGGGACAAGATCAGGACTAATGCAGTGTTTTTGTCTTACAACTCTACGTTTTGTTTAAAGCAGCCTAAACAGCTGTAACATCTCCTGAGGGAGCTGAGAGCGACGCCTGAATCTGTGTTCGACGAGTCACTGCAATATCTGTTAGTTCGGAAATCTGCAAGCTTGCAAAATTGTGTGGATGTCTTGATAAAAGGAGCTTCTGTAGCATCGGACTATTTGGTTATTCCAGAGAGCAGACTTCTTGAGTTTAAAATGTTTATTTTTAACCTTTATTAACTGCTTTTTATCAAAGTTATAACTTAACCTCAAACACAAATAACACCAACACACTTCTACTCACACCCTGTAAGAGTTCCTTCATTAACCTAACGAACGCCTTTGCTCCTGAAGTGGAAAGAGTTCAAGTGTCATGTGCTGCTGAGCGGGCCAATAGGTTCTTGAAACCCACCATGCTTGACCCAAGCAGACCTGAGCCTTTGGCTAGGCAAGAGGTCAGAGGTCCTCCACTCATCTAGATGGGCAGCATGTCACTGTGCCTGGGGCAGGGTGCATTACCTAACCTCTCCATTTACCCTATACTGAAACTACACCCACACACACACACACACACACAAACACACACACACAGGGAAGCACAAACACGCACATATGGACACAGGTTCCTGCTGCTTCTTTGAACTCCTTCACCCTGACTTCAGTCACCTGTAATGAATGAGCACACTACGAGTGTGTGTGGTGTACAGCTGCTATACAACTAGCTGCTTTGGATCTATAGATGTTATAGATGTTCAATGACGTGTGAGGAAAAAAAGGAAAAAACAAAACATTTAAATGTTATGTCTTCAAAAGAATATAATAAAAAAAGTTTGCATATTGGGTTAATTGATAAATAGGAATAAAGCGCACATGTCAAAGCCCTCTTCTTATTTCCATGTCGAATGAAATAAGTAATCTGGCCTCTGCTGGAAGTCATGTGACGGTGGGAGAAGTACGATGAGGATCCATGCTGCTAGCATTAACGTCACATTTCCACTGACTAACAAAAACTACAGGAACCCTATTGTTTAATTTGATCAGTTCTCCTTTAGAAGAGACGATGTAGAAACTGGAAGAACAGTTTTGCTCAGTGGTGGAGAGCCTCTCCGCTGTGATAACTGATTATAATGGCGGGGTACAGCTGATGAAACTCTCACATGTAAAACTCTCACATTTCTGCACAGGAATGACGATCAGAGTTCCAGCAAGGAGAAAAGATAAGCCGGCATCCATCCAACCCACACCTGTGCTCTCATGTGCTCACAGGAAAGATGCAGGAAGACTGTGGGTTTGCCCCATTCACTGGGCTCATACTCAGAATTGACTAAATTTAAGCACTTCGTGAGACACTGACTCAGAGAAATGTTCCTCTTTTCCGCGAGTGAACAGATTGTTGCTATTTCAGTCCATGAGGGACAAAACCAATGTAGCGGAAGTCAGGCTATCACTGAGCATCGGCAACTAGTACTGAATATCCACACAATGCATCTCTCTATTAAGGTAACTCTTGACACAGATCTAATATTTTGCTTGTAGCCTACTTTTATACATGTATATATTTTTTATACACAAGCAGCCTACACACCTTTAAATGTCTGTTAAATCTTGGATAAATGTTTGTTTTGCATCAAAAGTCATGCATTTTGTTTTCTCATTATAGCACACTGTGTACAATCCATAGCCAGTAAAAAGTATTGCTGCATTAAGCGTCTAGACATCCTGTATCCAAATGGTAGAAGAATTTATGTGGACTGCCTCATTAAGCTAAAGGCATATTAGTGCTTGGCTCGGCACGCTGCAGATGAAGGCTCCCTGTGAGAAAGCCCGTCTCAGCTGCATTTAACTAACGGAGGGGTCAAAAGTGAGTGTCACATCAGGCCCTGAAGCATGTAAAGATAATGATTGGGTGTGTGTATTTGGTCAGCGCGAATCCACTCAGACTGCCCATCCTAAAAATGGCAGTACGGCTGATTTTGCCATGTGCTGGAGGCCCCAAAATCCGAGAGGAAGTCTGATGCGCAAAGACTGTTTCTGAGAATTCAAAATTCTCGTACAACGTAAAGCAATGCGTGCAATCTTGCATGCACTGATCACGTTCATGTCTGCACGTTAAAAACTAAACATATACCCATGCATTATTTTTGGGGTTTTTCCCTTACAAAAACATGAAATTATTAGATAGCACCGGTGTATTCATTTTCCGGCCACATTACGCACCCAATCATCCAGACACTCACACAGACGGATCTCATCATGAGTCACGGCGCGAGGAGAGACGGGTGGCGACTGTGAATGATCTCTATCTGTGTGTTTAGGGATGGTATTTTTTTTTTTTTTTTTTAACTCTTCAGTTGTGTCGCTCGGATTCTTTGAGAGCAGCAGGGCTGCTATAATGTCGATACAATGACAGATGGTCCGCACAAAGCCGGTGCGCATTGTTCAGCTGAAAAATAATAGCCACCATTTATCAAGTGTTCGCCGACTTTCAGACCGGAAAGAAACAAGAGACTGCGTGCTGAGGGGAATGAATCAAAGTTATATTGTTTGGGAGGCTCCTTCTCTGGATTCTTCTGGGCTGCACCGGCTGTTCAAACTTTCCAAGCGACGGATCCAGCGTTCGTCTGTACACTGTGTACTATCGCTGTGTCTCGCTAAACTGCAAAAGTTACAATGTGCATTAAAAAGGTTGAACCCACCGGTGGGGATCACGTTTTTTCCATGAGACACACGAGATGCTCTTATGAGACGAGCGATGAAAGAGACGCTTTTTGGTCCACATGCGCTCATTTTGGAGACGCGTTATGAGTGCAGAGTGCCGACACAGACCCCGTCACATAATGTCACAGCCTCACGTGAAATCCACGTGCGCATTCAGCAAACATCCATACTATTTCACAGAACTGAAAATATGTAAGAAGCACATATTCCTTAAAAAATAAACCCCCCTTTTTGCGAAATTTAACAACTCCTTCTCCATAGCTCTGCCTACATTTCATGCTACATTTTTGCATACTTACATCGGCCATCACCTACTGCTTGTCAAACAGCAGGATTCACTGTCCTGTCGATTTCTTTAAAGTGTGCCCAGTGGCTTATTTTGCTCTCATCACTTCCGTCCGAGTCCAACTCTTCCCCAACTGAGCGCCAGCCTCCCCGATCTGATCCACACATTACGCTGTTTGAGAGACATGGGGGAGGGCCCCCGGTTTACATGGATCACCGGGAGGACCGGGATAGGCTCAGAGGAGATAGCTTGATAAAATGCGCGTCTGCAATTGGACGAGAGGGCAAGCTGGGAGGGGGCGCTGTCGTGTATTATTCAGAAGAAACCGGGTGGGGAGTGGAAAGGGGGGAGGAGGAGGAGGAGGATACTCAGGGCACAGCGGCATATGCAGACAATACCCTGTGTCTCAGAAATTTCAGATTTCATTGTATGATTTATCCAATAAACTATTCATAAAAGACCAATAGTCAAATTGGAGCACTCTTGTGTTCCCAATAGAGTCTCTGGTTACTATTAGTGTTCAAAATGACCCCAAAAATGCCTTTCTTTCTATGATTTTCATATTTTAAGGTTAAAAGGTCTCTAGACTAATTAAATGGAAGGGAGCAACTATAAATATCAAATATCAATATTCTGCAACATCGATCCTCAAAAAAAGAGTGTTTGCCTTTGTGTGTCCCTGCTTTTGTGTGTCCCATCATAAGAGTATCACTGTCGTCCTGGGTGTGTGTGCATGTTTCTGCTGTATGTAGGCTACAAGAAAGCTGGAACTGCAGAAATTTCCTCACAGGAGTAAGGGGGGAAATGGTGCATGGATAATTCTCTCTTCAGATCCTCTCGTACTTGCTCCGAGAGTACTCGGCTGAATCAATACCGCTCAAAGCTTTCTCATGTTCCCCTTCTCACATCAGTGCTGCTGTCAGGAGGCCGCAAAGTCCATCACAGTCCATTTATAGCCATTTTCTGGAGATGACGCTTTGAATTAAACACTCAAATCTTCCTTCTGTTGAAGGGTTATTTGACTAAATCACCCTTGACCTGCAGGCACCTGATAAGCACACTGATTCTCCTCTATAGAAAAGACTGTGAGTTGTTAACCTGCATACTGAGGCGGTGTGTGAGCAGACAGAGAAATCCTAATAACCACAGCGGGGGCTCTTGTCTGACCGGTAGCCATGGTGATTGAACACATTTCTCCACACAGCAGAAAGGCGGTCCGTCTGTGCTGCACCACACAGGCCTTTATTAGGCCCAGACCCTTGGACTGGAAGGAAGGAAGGAAGCACCAAGTGGAGGATCACGCCCATTTCATTGTGACTCTACAATTTTATGACATCCAAGAGGCCGTCGACCACAAATAAGCTCTTTTTTGGAAGACGTTCAGCTCTTGTCTGCGTTAAACCGATAAAACAGAATGCTTAGATCTCAACAAAGCTTCGCATCATCTGATTATTGTGTGAATGATTTTGAAGGCTAATTTGCATAACTGGTGGGGAATGATGCTCTCAGAAGTGAAGCACCTAGAGTTATTCAGTATAGAGTCTAATTTCAAACATCCAAATGAGAGCAACAGCCTTGGCTTGATTTCCTTTAAGCTTCTAATCTCTCTTTCCTCTTAATTTAGCTGCAGCTTCAATCACAGCTCTTTCACAAATCTAACCGTGTGGGAGTTTGTGTGACTGCTATCATGTGAAAACCTTATAATTCCATATTCGCCGTTTTCATTTTAATTGAAGGGCGATGTGGTTCTTTGTGGGTTTAAAGATCTTGGTACAAGTTTCTGATAAGACAGCCTTTATGACAGATCTGTGACTTTAAAACAACTTTTTGCTAGTAACCACTTCAGGTGTAAAAAGCTGATGTTTTAAATTGCCCCCCAGTTGAACACTACAGGTTATTAATGTTTCAGCTGTGATTTGATAGTTTACTCCAGACTTAAGATGTATTATAAAGTGAAAAGGTCATGACCTTTACTGTCCTTTAATCTCCTGACGAGAAACCCCGTAAGCATTTGTTCAAGGATTAATTTAAATGCTGCATTATAACATGAAGAAAAGATCATCAATAAAAATATGTTTCCTCAACTTTAAAAAATTGTTCTGATTTGCTCATCTGATCTATAAAACTTAAGTATTTTTTTTCCTTTTAATGATGTCATCTAAAGCAAGTCTGCAACAATTGAAGAAATAGAAAACATGATTTTTCTTATAATTTAAAGTTAAGTTATAGGAAATACAATGTAGCCCTTGCTTATATGTACACTCAGCAGTATTGCTGCCAAAGCAGTTGTTCATAGCACTTAGTTTATAGTGGCTAATGTCTGCAAACATAAGACCTCGCATGATATGATATCACAGAGCCAATTCACAGACCTTCTTTATTGAACACCTTGGATAAATACACACATTGATTTAGCTGCAAAGCCTTTGATCTTGTTTTATACACTTTAACTGAGTCAATCCATGGACCAGTCCAGTAGGACTCTACTGTAGGCCACTTTGCAACTGTAAACACTCCTTTGCATCAATAAGGGATAAACATTTCAAATTTGACCACAGCAGTCATGCAAAAAGGAAAAATAAGGGTTAGAGTTTTATTGCTTTTGTTCCCTTTCTGCCCACAGTAGCCCTTTTCAGATTGCATTTCCGCAAAAGGGTCATAACTAAACTCAGCCGTCGTTGTAAATACATATTGATTTCGTGATGGAGTAATATTTTTGTCCCATCTGTGAATTCACATTGCGTTTAGGCATTGTGAAAACACGGCACAGCGGGAGCTCCACGTACACACACAGTCAGTCATGCACAAACACACAGCGCTGCGCTCCCCGCCTGGCCCCGCTGATCCCATCTTGCCCCTGTAACGCCTCTGTTACTACCTCCGAGAATGGTACAGTACATAGGGGGAATTGCTTCGTTCCACCATTACGCCTCTATGACATTCAGATTGAAGGCGAAACCTCACAGGGGCGTAAATATCCATCCTTAAGACGGCAGTCTAACTAGGGCTAATCAATCATTTTAGTTATGCAGCTAACTCAAGAGTAGAAAATGAAATCTCAGAATTAATCTTGTAAACTACAAAATGTGTTTTCATCATTTTGAAAACATTGCTATCTATGTAGTTTGTAAGAAGTTTCATTTTTTTAATAACAAGCTCCATGTGTAGCCTGTGTGAGCTAGCCTGATTTGTGTATTTACACTCATGTCCTTATATGTGTGTGATACAGACACAAGCCAGTCCTGGACTCAACACAGTGGAAAGTGTCCGATGTGGTACTGTTGATTTCCATGACAACGTATTAAGCTGAGGCTTAAAATCATGGCTGTGCCATACTGTGCTTAGTAAGAGTGACATCTCCAACTGCTTCAGTAATGAGTTGTTGAACGTGCTGTCATTCTCTACAGATGGAGTACATATTACAGAAGCCAGTCTGAGTATTATCAAGTAACAAATTACAATGTGCTTGTTCACTTTCTTGTTAAAGGTTGAAAAGCTTAAATGTACCATATGGTTCATATTGCTAAAAAGAGACAACCGTTAGCTTTGCATAGCACTGAGACTGCAACAAAACAGCAGTGCAGCAAAATCCACATTGCGGCTGTGTTAGCATATTAGGAATATTGTATTCTGACAACAAATTTTAATACCATGTATGTATGTATGTATGTATGTATGTATGATACAGCCTGATACAAAAAAATAGCACCAACCTAATAACAAATGTTATCTGAAGACACTTTACAAGAGCAGGTAAAATGATTTATACTCTTTGTTACAATTATTCGGCACACTGTGCTGGGGGTGAATTTTTTTACAAGTCAGCTATTTTGATTTTATTAAGGACACGAGTTATGTAAAATGAGGTGCGTGACTTCATTGATGTGAGTGCACTTTGTCAAGGGGTTTAAAACCAGCCTCAGTTCCAGCTCTTGGCCTGTCGTTGGAATGACTGAAAGTATGGTTGAGACAGCATTTCAGCATGGCGACTTTCCACAGACGGGCTTCCAAAGCAGTAATAGATAGATGACGTCACTCTGGCTTCGTCCAATAACAATAGTATTTATAGTCTATGTTAAAGCCCCCCTACTTGTATCTAAAAGCTTAGGTCCCAGGTTCCATTGACGTCAGAAAGTAATATTTGAATTGATTTCATTGATAAAATATCAGCAAAATAGGCCTATTTAGAGAATAGCAGAGCAGACAAACTCCCTGCCTGGCCCCCTCACAGGATACTATAAAAGAATCTAGGATCCACAGTGTGTATACTTTTTGCACAAATACAAAAAAAATGTCATAAGATAAAAAAAAGATGTCAGACAGAAGAGAGTCAGCAAGAAAGTGAATAAACAAGTATTTCAATCTGAATAGTTTAAGCCATTTAATCTTCCATTTGAGATCAATTTTTCTACAAGTTACAGTAATGTGCACATAAGGACATGTTTGGGCGTAGTGCTTTTAGCAATTTGCTTATGAAGGGGATGGGATGTACATGCTAGTGATCACAACAAATTGCCTTTTTGGCTCCAAGTAGTAATAAAATCTGGATAATCATTGCAAAGACACACACTGTTATTTATTTACTTGATCAGAAAGCCTTCCCATAGCCGCCTGGTAATCGTATCATAACTAAATGAAGCCACAGTGTGAGTGTCAAAATGATCAACAATATGGCACAATCCCTGGTAACTCCTGACCACCTCCACCAAACCTGCATACAACTCTGCCATCATGGCTGCCTCCCGTCGGGTTTCATTCTAGCTCGATGCCAGGAGCGAATTCTCCGTCTCAATTAATCACTGAGTTTCTAATGGAATGCTTCCCTTCAGGATGAGGCCCATCACAGAGGGGGCTGCAGTCAGTGCTGTCGCTGAAGCCACTCTGATTGCCTGAATACACTCCCAGCTTTGGAGTCACTGCAGATGTCTGCTAATTGTGGTGATTATGGTGAACCGAGGGGGGTAGGAATATGTAATGAATTTCCCATTGCTTTCATGCCTCACATCCTTTGGTTATGTGCATCTGCTACACAAGCCGAGCATCCGCAGGGTTTGGAGACGGACAAAAGTGACATGGGGGATTGGGCACAGGTTTTTGGACGGGCAGCTATCTTAACACCAAGTGCTGCCAGATTGGTTCCATTTATTTTTCTAGTGTAGTACAATGCTGGTTTTAATTTCTCTCCTCCCCTCCTCTGCTCTACT